CATTTTCATGGTTCAGTGGTCAAAGTTAAGTTTTTGAGTTTTGGTCTTTTTTTCTAATACTGCATGCAATAGGTCAGCTATATTTGGTGTATGGAATGATTGTAAGGTGTACATGTCTAGCTGGCAGGTGTCATCTTACCTTGACCTCATTTTCATGGTTCAGTGGTCAAAGTTAAGTTTTTGAGTTTTGGTCTTTTTTTCTAATACTATATGCAATAGTTCAACTATATTTGGTGTATGGAAATATTTTATGATCTATATGTCAGTCACGCAGGTTTTATTTGACCTTGACCTCATTTTCAAGGTTCATTGCTCAGTGTTAAGTTTTTGTGTTTTCGTCTGTTTTTCTTAAACTATAAGCAATAGGTCAACTATATTTGTTGTATGGAAGAATTGTTAGCTGTACATGCCTGCCTAGCATGGTTCATCTGACCTTGACCTCATTTTCATGGTTCATTGGTCAATGTTTAGTTTACTTGGTTAATGTTAAGTTTATGTGACAGTTGTAATAAAGCTTTATATTTAGGACTATCAACATAATATCAATGATTAGTAAAGAAGGCGAGACATTTCAGCGTGTGCACTCTTGTTCATTTTATCATAGTGATTTCTAGAGACAGTAATTGCCAATCATATTTTAAAACATATTTTTTCGTTTCATATATGGACAGTTAAAGAAATATTTCAATTTTATACAAAGATATACTTTTGCGGCCCCCCAGTATGTTGAGAATATACTGCAAATGTTAACGTTATGTTTCCCGTATTTACGTCTTATGTTTATGACGTTAATTTGTACCTTTGTATGGGCGCCTTCGATATAGATTTTGATCATAAAAAGTAACACAACGCAAAGTATAGAGTTTTATTCGTTTATTACAATACATTTACCTTGAATTTTGACCTTGAGATTGAATTAACACTTTAATTTGCAAGTAAGCTTGCATGGGTCTGAACTTTCTCATCTTTTGATGAATATGTTATTTGGCATATGGATGTATCACCATAAACAATCCCATACCTACCATCCTGGTCAATTTTTTACCTTGACATTTGACCTTGAGGATAAATTATTAACATTTTTAACAACTGACCTTGCCAAGGATAAATTATTAACTTTTTTGACAACTGACCCTGTCATGGCTAAATCATTACCTTATGATGCAGACTGATGATATATCGCATATTGGTGTTTTTGATTCAGCCATGCTGGATCTATGCGATCACTCTGGTTTTGGAGATGGTGCAGAATACTAAGTTGAAGACATATCATGAAACTATGATGTGTTTTTATGACTTGCAGAAACTTTCTACACCATTTTAATCATCAACTGCCAACTTTTGACATGTTATTTGCCATTAAATTAAGAAAAGATTGGTCGAACAACCCTTTTATTTTAGATATACACTTGCATATAGTTCCTTTGTAAATCAAAATGTATAATGATTTACTATTTATGAATTAATTTGAAAAAGTATCTGTACATCAATTGAATCAGTTGATAAGAATTTTGAAAGTATTATATTAGTATCTTATGCTTGTGTAAGTTATTGTTCAATGAAATTTGGGTCAACATGTGTATTAATATATTTAAGTTGATTCCCACACTTTTTTGAAATGGTATTACTCCAATTGTTTCCATAGGCAAGCAAGAGCCAGTATGATTATCAATTGTCAAGATTTTCAAATAATTACACTCAAAGAAGTATTAATTGGAAACAACCCCAGTCTTAATTCACCACAGTTAATATCTCATGACCTGTTACATAGTTAAATAGACACAATTTATTACACACCTAACTGAATACACACATTCTAGACCTCAATAGTAAACCTACAAATGTATTATTTATTTTGATCTACACTACATTAAAATATTCTGTTAATTTTGCTAGCTAGCTGAATGATTAATCAGATGTGGTTTTTATCTTCAAAGAAAAGACGAAAAATATGAAAAAAATATGAAAAAAATATGTATAAAAAAGGCAAACAAATTTTATTTCATTTGTAAAATCAGTGTCATTATCATCTGACATAAGTCAATAATCAAGTTCTAAATAATTAGTTACAATTATCAGAAGTTTGGTTGAAGCAATAAACAAAATTGCATAACTCTTACCTGAGCATTTTCTGCAATAAAATTTATTTGTTTGTTCTACATTTATATCTCTTTATAATGCTATTTAATAGTAATTGGAAATATCTCAGCATTAGGTATTTGTACATTTAAATTTGAATACAGGAAATGTATTTTTTCTTAATGAAGAATGAACACCAATTTAGATAAAAAATAGTTATTATTTTTTTTAATTTTTGTTGATGAGAAAGTGCATTTTCAAGGCCTCTTTCTGGAAATTATTAAGCCAGTTATTATTAATGGCATATAAAAAAATATATTACTTGTTTGACGATTTCCCTTTCCATTCTTGTCAATACCATTAATTGATTATGACTGAGTCTAAAATTGAAAAAAAGCAATATGTATATCAATATTTGCATCAATATAGCGAAATTCCCTACTTTTGGACAATAACATAGAAATTTTACAGTAAGATTGGAAATGAAAAGAGAAAAAAATATTGAAAAAAGTATGGTCAGAAAGAATATCAGACTAGCTATGAATATGGCTGGATCACAACATCGACGATGCTTTGATTTAATATAAGGGAAATGTCTTTTACCACCATGATCCACATGTAGACATTGACCTTTGTACTTGAGCTCAAAATATTCATTTCAGCTTTTCTCATCACTTGGCGTCCTTCGTCTGTCGTCGTCTGTTAACTTTTACAAAAATCTTCTCCTCTGAAACTACTGGGCCAAATTTAACCAAACTTGGCCACAATCATTATTGGGGTATCTTTTTAAAAAAAATGTGTCCAATGACACTGCCTGCCAACCAAGATGGCCAACATGGCTAAAAATAGAACAAATGGGTAAAATGCAAGTTTTGTCTATTATTTTGAAAACCTGAACTTAAACCGTTATAAATAGAGAAAATTTGACACATGCTAAAATGTTCAGAATGTTGAGGTCTACCAATTGTCCATATACGTCAAAACTGTCAGACGACTTTTTTCAGGAGTAATTGCCCTTAATTGACAAATTTTACCATTTTTTTTCATTTTTGCCTTCTATCTTGAAAATCATAATAGATAAAGAGAAACTTAAAATTGCAAAAATGATCAGCAAGACAAGTTTAACAAATAAGTTTAGCATGGTTGAAATTGTAAGTCGACTCCTTATTACAGTTATTGCCCTTTGATGAAGATTTTTAACAATTATTTATGTTTTCACCTTATATCTTAAAAAAATTATAATAGATAGATAGAAACTTAAATAAGCAAAAAATGATCAGCAAGACAAGATCTACAATTAAGATTCTTCACCTTATATCTTAAAAATTAAAAATTATAATAGATAGATAGAAACTTAAATAAGCAAAAAATTATCAGCAAGACAAGATCTACAATTAAGATTCTTCACCTTATATCTTAAAAATTATAATAGATAGATAGAAACTTAAATAAGCAAAAATGATCAGCAAGACATGATCTACAATTAAGACGTCATGGAGGAAATCGTCTGACGACTCCTTATTGGAGTTATTGCCCATTAATGACGATTTTCCATTGTCTGTTAACCTTTACAAAAAATTCTTCTCTGAAACTCCTGGGCCAAATTTAACCATACTTGGCCATTATCATCATTGGGATATCTAGTTTAAAAAATGTGTCTGATGCCAAGATGGCCAACATGGCTTAAGATAGAACATGGGGGTAAAATGCAAGTTTTGTCTTTTATTTTGAAAATCGTTATGAATAGAGAAAATCTGACACATGCAAAAATGTTCAGAATGTTGAGCTCTACCAATTGTCCACATGTGTCAAAACTGTCAGACGACTTCTTATAGGAGTTATTGCCCTTAAATGACAAATTTTACCATTTTTTTCATTTTTGCCTACTATCTTGTAAAATATAATAGATAAAGAGAAACTTTAAAATGCAAAAATGATCAGCAAGACAAGTAAGTTTGCATGGTTGAAATTGTCAGTCGACTCCTTATTAGAGTTATTGCCCTTTGATGAAGATTTTTAACAATTATTTATGTTTTCACCTTATATCTTAAAAATAATAATAGATAGATAGAAACTTAAATAAGCAAAAAATGATCAGCAAGACAAGATCTACAATTAAGATTCTATGGAGGAAATCGTCCAAGGACTCCTTGTAGGAGTTATTGCCTTTTAATAGCATTTTCATTATTTATTTTTGTGTTTTGCCTTGTATGATAAAAATTATAATAGATAAATATACACTTTAAATAAAAAAAAATAACCAGCAAGTCAAGATCTACGAACAAGTCAAACTTTGCTGCTATAGTTAGTAGACTGTCACTCTTTATAGGAGTGATTGCCTTTAAATGAGGATATTTTTTACCTTCTTTTGTGCTTTGAGCAAAAACTAAGGAAGATAGATAGAAACTAAACAGAATAAATGATAATCAATACAAAATCACCAAAACAAAGATTTTTGTCATGAATTCTATTCTCATCTACAATGTTGGAGAGTGTCCTTTGTTGAATATGCACATAGACCAATGTGAGAGACACAGTCTCTTTAGAGCCTCTAGTTATTTTTTATTGTTCTCTTCATACAGCCAATTTTGCTCCTAATTGGACTCATGGGAGATGTGTAATATGAAATTTATCTCAACAATCTTATAGAATCAGTCATTTTTATTTAGGGTCCAGCTGAAGCCAGCCTCTGGGTGCTGGATTTTCTCGTTGTGTTGAAGACCCATTGGTGGCCTTTGGCTGTTTTCTGCTCTTTGGTCGGGTTGTTGTCTCTTTGACATATTCCCCATTTCCATTCTCAATTTTATTCATATGGAAAACCTTACAGAAGTGCAGATTTTTGCTTACATGCTAATTTTGGTGCTTAGATGTTTGTATTTTGAGATTTGCAAAAACTTTTTGATTTTATTTTATATTCTCAGTTTGATGAAGACCAAAACTTTAAAACAAAGAGTGTACTATGTATGCCAATATATAACAGTGACAAAAAGATAATTGGTGTCACACAGCTGATCAACAAAATCAACGGAAATCCTTTCAACGAGAGTGATGCAAATACTATAGAAGTAAGTTCTTATTTATGTTAACTCTTTCCTCCATATTTTATTTTTGTTATACTTAATGATATTTTAAATGAAATGTTGAAAATAAGAACTTAAATAAATTAAAAACTTCTGAAAAGATGAAGATATACATTTAAAATAATAATGCATGGTAAAAAAATAATTTCATCTAGGCAATTCATGTGTAAATAAAATTTTAATGTTGGACAGAAATTTGATAAAGTCTGATACAAATTTTTCAAAGGCAAAACATTTTTTCTGAGGTATCACATAAAGGGGTCAACAGGTGTCATTATGGAGAAAATTGAAAGTCTTCAAAGGCCTCATTATGATGGGAGGGTTAAGATCAATTTCAGCATTATTCTAATTACGGTAATATTATTTTATTTTGATAAATCAATTCTGCAAATTGCTTAAAGTATGATGAGCATTGATCATAGTTTTAAAAAATGGTTTTGTATTTTTTGAATAAGTGATCACCCTGTTGCAAAGTAATTCACTCAACATTATTAAATTTTAACTGAATAACATTGCAAACTCCTTTAAATATGGTAGTTCCTTTTACTTATTCGGGAAACCTAAGAAAAACATGTTGTTTCATAAATAGACATATTTACACTTTTAAGCATTAAGCTGAATTAGCTCCAAATGACCCAAATCTATCTCGGAATATATTTCTGGCATCTTGCATTAATGACTATTTTATTATGACGTCAAATGTTTTAAATTGTGACTCAAAATTTTATAGGAATTTATTTGACTTTTAAGTAATGGCAGACAAATTTGCATACAAGTGTAAATACATCTATACATGTATTTTGTAATTGTATATGTGATTTTTTTCAACCAAACAAAGAGTGGTATGTCTTTGAATTATTGGATTTTGAAAATCCATGAAAATTAGTATGTGTTATGTGAAAGTTAAATGAGAAGTGTTTTGTCAGCTCTTAATTGAATCTTTTTAATTGTAGGCTTTTTCAATTTTTACTGGACTTGGAATACATAATTGTCAGATGTATGAGAATGCATGCAAACTAATGGCCAAACAAAGTGTAGCATTAGAAGTGTTGTCATATCATGCCACAGCACAGAATGATGAGACAGAGAAACTAATGGTAATGTATTAAGGAGGTAGACCTAGGTTAAAGGACATAACATTCTAAAATACACATGTTTGTGTAATTTTCTGTGTCGTTACAACACAACAGTTTTGGGACGTTGAAAAAAAACAGTTGGACTTTTTTCTTAGTCTTTCAGATATTTATGGATGAAAACATTTCATAGACCTAAATTTACTATATGCCATGCTTTTTTCCTTTAGCTGAGAATTTGAATAATGGTTAATGATCCATGTGTCGATGTGTTGATGACTATAACACTTAAAGTATTTTCTAAGACTTGGTGCAAAACTGAAATACATGTTCTAAAGATGATAGGCTGAAAAAAACAGTTTCATTACACTGTTCTTTATGATAAAAATTTACGTACATAGAACTTTTTCTCTGTATTTATTTTTTTGAAAGCTTCTCTGCACAAATAATGCTGTTTTCATTTCACATTAAACCAAAATAACTACATTTCAAATGCTTAATACATGTTCATATTATGTCAAGTTCATTTTTACATGTGAATTTTTAGTATGAAATAAATAAAACAAAACTCTTTTATATGTGTTTAATTTAAGAATTAGATTTTAACTAATTATTTTTTTCAGACATGTGATATACCTCCTGCTGAAAACCTTGGTTTATATACATATGAGTTTAATGATCTGCCAATGTCGGAAGATGAGACACTAAAATCTACAATAGCTATGTTCAGAGATTCTAACATAATTAAGAAATTTCGTATTCCTTATGATGTAAGTGATTTTATGTACTTGCCACAGCTTTAATGATATATAGAGGTAAGGGATACAATTTCATTGCCAGGAAAACCCCAAAGTTGACTTGGGTTTAGAAAAAGGCCATCTTAACTTTTCCCATCTGTTAGTAAACTCGTGTTAAAGAGGGATGTTCTTTTGGCATTGCAGGATGTATAAATAGGTTGCTGTGTTTTGTCAAAATATGGACATTAAATTTGATGCCTCATTTAGGGAGTGTGCCAAGCGCTCTGCTAATATTAGAACCCATGCAACATTTCTTTAAATGGTCCATAAGTGGCATGTAGCTAGGAAATCTGTCTGCACCTAACTTAATTTTCCAGTGGCAGTTAAAATTTCACACCTTTTATACATCTATAGGTTGATTCTACTTGACTTAACCTACCTAGTGGATTTATAATTCAGTAGTTCTTGTCCTGAATATATGCATTTAATGCTTGCTACTAGGTGCAGCGAGTTTAGTATTTATTATGTAATAGTTATTTGAAATTAAATATTAAGCATTGTTAAGATTTGAGTGATGTATAAATCCATTGAAGTTTTGTACTTAAACAACAGAGTAACAGGTTCATTACATTTTTAGCCCACCTGGCTGGAAGGGCCAAGTGAGCTATTCTCATCACTTGGGGTCCGTCGTCATCGTTAACTTTTTACATTTTGAACTTCTTCTAGAGAACCACTGAATGAAATGGAACCAAACATGACATGAATGTTCCTTATTAGGTGCTGACTAAGTGTTGTTACTTTGAAGCCGATCCATCATCCAAGATGGCCGCCAGTGGGGGACTTAGTTTAACATAGGACCCTATGAGAATTACATACAAATGTCTTCTTTTAGAGAACCACTGAATGGAATGAAACCAAACATGGCATGAATGTTCCTTATGAGGTGCTGACCAAGTGTTGTTACTTTGAAGCCGATCCATAATCCAAGATGGCCGCCAGTGGGGGACTCAGTTTAACATAGGATCCTATTGGAAATATATACAAATGTCTTCTTTTAGAGAACCACTGAATGGAATGAATGAAACATAGCATGAATGTTCCTTTTGAGGTGCTGACCAAGTGTTGTTACTTTGAAGCAGATCCATCATCCAAGATGGCCCCAGCAAGAGACTTAGTTTAACATGGGACCCTATGGGAAATACATACAAATGTCTTCTTTTAGAAAACCACTGAATGGAATGTAACCAAACATGGCATGAATGTTCCTTATGAGGTGCTGACCAAGTGTTGTTTCTTTGAAGCCGATCAATCATCCAAGATGGCCGCCAGCGGGGAACTTAGTTAAACATAGGATCCTATGGGTAATACATACAAATGTCTTCTTTTAGAGAACCACTGATTGTAATGGAACCAAACATGGCATAAATGTTCCTTATGAGGTGCTGACAAAGTGTTGTTACTTTTTATGCCGATTTACTGTTCAAAATGGCTACCAGGATTTTTTTTAAATTACAGGGCCAATATTAAACCAAATTTGGCCTCAATCATTATTTGGGTATCTGTTATGATTTTTATCTGATTTTACATGATTTCCAAAACCAAAGTAGAGTCTGGTGAGCGACACTGGCTCTTGAGAGCCTCTAGTTTTTAGAATAAAGGGGACAAAAAACAGGAATATAGCAAAATTCAACCATTATAATTATCAGACCAATTTAATTGTTATTTTATTCTCTTTTTACATTTTAGGTGATATGTAGATGGACCTGTAGTGTCAAGAAGAATTATCGACCAGTAACTTATCATAACTGGAGACATGCTTTTAATGTAGCACAGACAATGTTTACAATTCTATATGTAAGTAATGCACAGAGGTTTTCATCTATAAATGGATTCCAAGATTGTTCTGTCTGTCTATAAGACTTCTGCTTAGGTAGTACCCATTCACTATTCAGGATGTGTAAATTTGCTACTATATCTTATAACAGTATCAAATGTTTGGAAAGTGCCAGGCACTCTGTTAGCTGATGAAGCTTTAAAATACTCTGGTGGGGGGAGGTCCATGACCAACATATATCCTCTTTTTCAAGTTGCTTTCGAAATTTCATACCCTTCATTTCATGGATAAATTGTTATCCTGAAAATGCATGCAATATTAACTACTGGCCATTAAAGAAAGCAGTATCAAATTAGACAAGCTGTCAGTATTTTATTATAATTGATACATGCTTCTTAGGGGGAAAATCAAATACTATCTCTCACTCTATTCCGCAAGGTAAGCAACTTAAAAGAGAACAATCATAATATTTTACAATCCAGGCTTATTTATAAGAGAAAATACAACTCACCACATTTCACAGTATAGAAATGGCTTTCTCAAACTGGCCTTTCTCTAAGTACAAGCAAACAGAAATCAATCAATCATTTATAATTGGTTTGATTAAATTATATTGTTTGTTGTTTGGTTGATACCAATGGAAAAAGTCAGGTTAATAAATATGGATCAGAATAACTATCATAAGGCCAAAACATTTTTTAGTCCTGAACATATCCCTTTAGTTTATGTAAAATATTTCAAAAGATAAAATCATTTATCTACCTACTATCTTATTTTTTTCTACCAGGAGGCAGGACACAAGTATATATTTTTTTGGAAGCCTAAGTATAAATTTGATGACCATAAAAGAATTGTACATTTTAAATTGTGACCCCAAAAAGAATTATGTTCTTTCCTAAGGTCAACCTATAATAAAAAGCCAAAGCATTTAGGTAGTATTGACATTATAACTTTTACGAGAAACCTTTTTGTAAGGCTAGTATTTTTAAGCCAGCAGAATCATTTGTTGGGCGATTTCCTAAATTTGTGAATTTCACACTAATTCAGTGTCCCAGAGGGATGCTGAACCTTGAGAATATTGATTATAGTTATATGATGGACCTTATATAGAAGTCATGCAGAAAACTAGAAACCAGTTGAACATCTTTCTTTGGTGTTTGGCAAGAATAATTATAATGTTGTTCTTAACATTGTGGTATTGGTGACTATAGGGGAGACACATGTATGAGCAGCCCGTGTTGGGACATGTGTAACCAGTTGTTAAGTGAATAAATTACGTTGACAATGAATTAAATGATGGTTTTTCTTTTATTAACTTTTTTTTTAAACCAGCTTTGTAAAGTAGCATCTTAAATGCTAGCCATTTTTACAGACAGTCTAAATGAAAATTGAAGAGAATTCCTTTTTTGTTCATTATTCCTTATGTAAGGAAAAATAAAAAGAATTATTACATTGGTTGCAATGAATTACATTGATTTCCCAGTGAAATAAAAACCGATAATTTCACATGTGAAATAAACGTGGTTATTTCACTCCTCTGACGTCATACAACAATAGGCGTTGTCAAGACGTCTATAACGTCGGATCAAAACAAATTGTGAATGCGTAGAAAACGATATAGTTCCTTACATTTTCTACTTTAATTTCACAAAAAAGCCATTTTCGAATGTAATAAAAAGAATATCTAATCAAAGAATTCAAATATCGAAAAATATTCAACTCGTGACCGAACAACACTGATAATTAACTCATGCGCTACGGTCACTCATTGAATATTTTTCTCTATTTGAATTCTTCGAATAGTTATTCTATAAATAATTGTCTGAAAATTAAGAAAAATATATGATGTTTTAAGAAAGAGTACAATTTACCCTACATGAAAATATCTTTTTTATAAGGCATTGATGTTTGTTCTAGACATTTTTTAATGTTTACAGCAGGTGTCTGAGATTGTTTGTTTTTAATTTTATTTTTATATTTAGACAGGTGGACTGATACCATTATTTGATGACTTAGAAGTATTTGCTCTCCTTGCTGGATGTCTCTGCCATGATTTAGATCACCGAGGGACAAATAATGCCTTCCAAGTCAAGTAAGTGTTACCCATCATGAAGTTTGTCTTATTCATTGCATGTCAGTACAGGTTTAATACACAAAGCAGTAAAGGGTGTGGTTGAATATTCACTGTTTTCCACTGAAGACAGTAGCCTCATAGTTTTGGTCATTTATTTTTTCTGTCATTATTAAAAGTTATAAAATAGTAAACTTTGTGTGGCCTATATTCTCCTTTTCAAAATCAGCCTGCTCCCTTTAAAAAGCCTAGGGGAAACCCTGAATTTTGAATTTATTATAGCATATTTAAAAATACCTTAACTGAAAAAGGAAAATGGTAGTGCATCTAAAATTATTTTAATCATATTGAATTAAAATCAAAAGAAGTATAGTTATTGTTTTGAGCTTCAGATATTTGAATTTATACTTGGTGATAAAATAAATGATATTTTCTCTTTACTGGATTTCTTGTTATTTACTATTATCATTGGCAGATCCCCCTTTTTTTCAATTTTTTTTATTTTTTTGTTTTTGTTTTATTTTTTTAGTTTCATGGTAGTCTGAGGGTTGGAACCCCTCCTTTTCTAAATGGCTGGATCTGCACCTGATTAACCTATATTTCAATTTGGTTTTAATATGGAGTTTATGGACATTTTGATTTACTGTCAGTCAATCATTCAAATTGTATGATACCACTTTTACAAAATGTTGGCAAGTTGTTCACACTAAACAAAATACTTTGACAGTTAGAATGATTCATTTCTGTTATGTATTAATCCTGTTGATGATTTTATTGCTTTGGAACCATATTTGTTATATTCCAGAGTAGAATCACCATTAGCCATGCTGTACAGTACTTCAGTGATGGAACATCACCATTTTGACCATTGTATTATGATATTGAATAGTGAGGTAAATCCAGACTGTGCTAGAAAATTCAGCTTTTTATACTTTTTAGTTTCTGTACACATGTAACAGTGGTAATAGTAGTTGTCTGTACATTACACAACACGCCCATTAGATAGTAAGATGTAATTTAGATTTCAAAGGAACAGTGTTTGTATTGCTGTTCTTCTACTAAGGAGTTGCTAGAAGACTTTCAAATTTCAAATAAACAGCTCCTACAAGATTAAAATGACCCCAAACATTGATTTAAGCAGTACAATTTGATATTCATTGATGACCAATACACATATGGTAGAAGTAAGATATGAATGAGTAACTTTTGAATTGCATATAAAACTTGTATAAATTTTGTCATGAAGACATTTGTAGGAAGATTTGACAAGGGATAAAAAGCCAGGTATCAAATTAAAAGGGCAAATAAAATTGGCTGGACTTCATAAAAGATTTAAAAGCACAACTATGTCTAGAAGTATGATGATTTTTTTGCTGGGTTCTAAAAGTGCAAAACCAACTTATACATAGTATGGTGATGTAGGGCAAGCTGGTGGCTGGGTGTGGAAAAAAGGTACCTATTTTGAGAAATCAACCATACATATTTCAACCAATATCCCTGAAACTTCACAGAAAGATGTTGTGCACCAGCTACTATGGAATTGTTTGAGGAATTTTTCACCATTTTTCCAGACTTTTCAAACAACTTCTTAATTCAGAAGTTCTGCATTTATTATTGCAATAGTTGAATAATCAACACAAATGTGAGTTTAAAAAGTTATTGGGATATCAGGGAATGCTACATACAAATAATGTGATCAACATTTAAATGAGAGTTTTTCATTTTAATGACACCTTATCTCTTTGAAATTTAAACAATAAAAACATCCCAAAATTTTTTGTAATCAACACCTCCTGCAGTTTTCAAACCACATCTTTGAATCTTCACAGAAAGATTGCACTTTTATTGAAGCTATGCACCTCTCATTATGGAATTTTTTTAAAGATTTTTTCCCATTTTATATTTCCATATATTTTTTTAAATATTCATTATACGGGTCATTTTCAAAAAATGAAGACTTTTCAGTACACATATGCTAAAATTTTTATTTTTAAAGGAAAATGCAGTTGTAAGTGTTTAAATGAAAGTTTGTAGGATTTATGAGTTGGAAAATCAATAATAAACACAATTCAGATCTATTCTGATAAGATTAAAATATATTTAAGTCCGATTTTTGAGTAATTTCTGTGTGTACAGGGGTAACACATTTTAAATAATTTTTTCCCTATTTTCTGATGCCTTGCTGTCTTCAAAAGGAACTATTTTAGAATGTTAATAATAACTCTAACAAAAAATCACAGCTTTTTTATTATTCTATGTAACATTTTTTCTACAAACTAAATTCAATCGGTGTACATGAAATGCATTTCTTTCCTGTTATCAATACTAAAGCAAACGTTAATTTTTTTCTCCGTATGAATATGGAACTATGCAGTGATGATTTCTAAAGTACAAAGCTTCCTAAAAATTTAACACAGCACATTTCTTGTATAACAGTGTAGAGAAAAGAAAATTCAAAGACATTCAGTGAAAAAAATAGTGGATACCCTTTTGTCATGTCTATGCTGTTACATGTACCAACATATTTATTAATAACAATATTATACTAATAAAAAGTGCAATTACGTATTGGAAACCAAAATCAAAGAAGACAAACATTATCACTTCATCAAAGGGAGTAGTTATTTCATAACAGCATTCATAAACGAAGAAATTTGTCTATCCTGTTACTATTGTTACAGTAACAGGATAGACAATATTTGACAGAAACGTCTTTAAAAAGTTTATAATTACATACAGTTTTACACATAATGAAATGTTTGGTTGTTTGAACTCATTTAAAGGTTACAACGTCTTAATCTTTGCAATTTAGCATATACAAATGCAATACTGCTATCGGTAACAGGATAGAACTTAATATAGTGATATATTGTTAACGTACGTTCCTGTTACCAAAAAAAGAAGACAAATATAAACCAACATGCGAGGGAATTACTTGATGTTGGGTTTATTAGAAAGAGAAAAATAATGATGAACATTATTAATCGCTATCTTAGACTTGCGTTGCTAGTGGTTATTTTTATAACCTTTGAAAACCAATTTTTAGAGGTATTTTTCAGTACAACAAGGAAAATTGACAAATAATCTATCATTACACAGAATGAAAATATATAGAAGTTTCTACTCTTGAAACCCATCTTATTGTCTATGAAAAACAAGCTTAGAATTTTATCCAAACCTTTTCTAAATAACCCAAAATTTCTTTTGAACATGGTAACAGGAGAGACAAAATATTGCGACACCTATCAAAAAATGTTTCAATATATTCTTGTATGATATTATCAAGATTGCATCTTTTTATATGTTGTTCCATAAGTACTGTTTTTGATTTGATTTGCTTATGAAGAGGGTTGTTTGAATTAATAACTTTAATTCAATTTTGCAATATCAAAATTTGACATTTTTTGAAAATGACCCATGCATCATTGTCCATTGTTTAAGAAACAATGTGTGCATCTTGGCCATTTGAGTCTTTGATATATTTTTATAATTATGAGAAATTATTTCATGCACAGAAATTACTTAACTGGAAAATGATAAAAAGACATATGCGGGACATGTTTTACTAAATCCACTTAGTATAAGAAACAAACTCTTCTATATTGGTTCTGACTGGTTACATTTTTCTCTTTCAGGGTAATAATATTTTCCAGTCTTTGTCATCAGAAGAGTATAGAAAAGTTATAAAAATGTTAGAACATGCCATTTTATCAACAGATTTAGCATTATATTTCAAGTAAGTGAGAAAATGTAAAGAAAACTTTTATGTTCAGCAAAAAAGACAATTTATATATGGTTAAATATCTGATTGGTTTTTTTTAAGTCAGTTGTCACCTGTGAAATTGGTTTACTGTGCAGCCATTGAATGGTGTGAATTTCCCAGTAAAATGCAAGGGTATTTTTGAATGGTGCAGTATTGGATATAATTTGATCAATGGTGAAAGGTAATGGTGTATATGGTGTGAGTGGGAATTTTACACCTGTTAAGAATTGTAAATCTGAGACAAATGAGTTACACCACATGTTGATGATGCTAAATGGTACTATAAATCTTATTCATTTGTAGAAAGAGAGGGGATTTTAAGATGATTGTGGACCAAGGAGAAAAAGAGTTCCAGGAACCAATCAAAAAGGACTTGCTAAAGTAAGTAATTTTGCAAATAAAACTGAAATATCAAATGTATTAGATAGAAGGGTATGTCATGGGTAAACATCAGAAATCTATTTTGTATTTGTTATGTTCATAGTTTGCTATCTTATTAATGCACACCCTCTAAACTCCTGTATGCCATAGGTAAATGGGATATAGAAGTATATAAGGATACAAATATTAACAAAAAAAATCAGTCAAACACTCTAATATAAATCTGCCAACTGTTACCCTGTGAATGAACTCAATGAAAATCTAACTCAGCATGTTGTAGTAGTATAAAGCAGGGTATCTTCATTAAGGTCATTACCAATTTATTATCCTGAATATCATGTAAAATTTTCTGCTGGATGTTAAGCAGCTACACTGCTACTTTTGCATAGGTACTATTTCTGTACTAAAACTCTGTAGTACTATAAATTTACTTTTAATATTTAGTACTATTTCTTTACTTTAAAATTATTGTAATATTTAGGTACCTGTATTTTACAGTACTTGATTTTTACTAAAAAATTTGGTACAGATATAATACCAACAGCGATCACAATATTCCATGTTTGAAAATCATAACTTTAAGAGATTTGAAATAGACAAACTTTCAAAATGCTGAAAATGTAACGGTTTTACCAAACATCTGTAGTACTTAAATTTCATGTACAAAGCAAGTACTGTAAAATACAGGTACCTAAATATTACAATAACTTTAAGGTAACAAAATAGTACTGAATATTAAAAGTAGATTTCCAGTACTACAGATTTTTGGTACAGAAATAGTACCTATGCAAAAGTAGCTGTGTATCATATAATTTTGCAAACTGTCGAAACAGAAGGACTTGCAACCAACCCCAAACAAACTAGTTTGCTGTGCAAAAAAAATGTAAGTGAAATGATTATTTTGGTTACAACTGCATTGTTGGACAAATTACTACATTTGACTTGGCATTTACTCGTAAGAAATGTACATGCAAATAGTTGAAATCAAACCTATTGTATCATCTACTACCTTTTATTTACACAGAAAATGTTTAATCTTGCTTTTTTTTAAGAAATGTTATGCTTAATTATTGCCTTTATTATGGTCATGTCAATTAAGCTCATATTTAGATTAACACTGCAATGTAATGATAACTTTGCAGAGCTATGATGATGACAGTTTGTGATGTAGCAGCCATAACAAAACCTTGGGAGGTCCAGTATGAAGTAGCTCATCTTGTGGCTAATGAGTTCTTTGAACAAGGAGATATAGAGAAAACACAGTTAGGTGAAAAGCCTATTGTAAGTCTTTTAATATTCATAATTCACAAACTTAATAACACTAGTGTAATCATAAAACCATATGAAATTTATTGGTTTCTGTTGGATGCTGTAAGGACAAATCCCCCTTTTGTTTTACCACAAAATACAGGGGCACATTATGTTCCTGTCATCTGTTTCTAAGTGTTTCTTAAGCATGTGTTCCAGTCAGGTCATATTCTGAAAGGGTAAATTGTAAAAATATCTAGCTCTAATAAATTCTTTGTGATGACTTTCTTGAAACTAATACCTATTTCAAATGAAGTTTTTGCTTGGAAAATTAATACATATTGTTGCTTAAGAGCATTTTGCTTGAAAGGAAAAACTTTATGACATCATATAATGCAATGATTGTACAGGAAATGATAACTCCTGTAACAATAACAACTCCTCCAGAATCTGTAAGGCCACACCAAATTAATTTTCATTTCTTCAGACTCCTACTGTCGAAAAAGAGGAGCAAGCAAGGGAAATCTTAAAAAAAAATTCAAAAATAAGATTTTTCTTAGGCAAAAGGATTAACTTCTAGCAAGCAACAATGTTTTTAAAATAATTCTTAGTCTATGGGAGTAATTATATACAAGCAAGTGGCCTTTGTTTATTTATTTCTTTAATCAACGGAAGTGAGAGTTAAAAGATTTTGCACATTATTTGTGCTTAATTTTGATATATCTATATGTATATATGTTAGTCTTAAAATTACCCTACATTTCTTCTCAGTTCATTTTCTGACACATGAACTTCAACATCAGTAATAAGTTTACATCCTTTAAACCTTTATAAAGACATTTCCATACAGTCCTTGATTTTACATTGAAAAAAAAAGCAGTGACAAGTATGTCATGTTTGTAGGAGCCAGTACAGTATTATTGCGAACCAAATGAAACTTTTCCAAAGATTCATCTCTTATTAGTCAATCTATTTAAACTTTTGATATCTACACGAGTGAACCAACACCTTCCGACGGTACAGGCTGTTAGAGTAATCAGGATGGATACCAAAGTATGCTGCGGTTGTCTTAAAACCTCAGGAAAATAAAACTATAAAAAGACAACAACATCCTAGATTACTGCAAGGAAATGCTTTATTCTGGTCTACATGTTTCGCCACTTACGGTGGCGTCTTCAGGACAATTTAATGATAGGAAACAAATGCTGAAGTACATAAAATGCAGCTCATATGGGGTTACAAAAAGGTTAACAAGACGTGACATCACAATTATTGGTTTGACAATGTTAAAATGAAAGTGAAAGTAAAAGTTAATAAGGAATTGTCGTATCTTTTCCAAAATGGACAACACCTCACTGGACATTCCGTACCATTTTAACTGGCTTCACTCTGAATAAGGTACTACTTCCAATTGCTTTTGGAATAGTGTGGGATGTATGGTAGTCACACATGTAGGGCAATGTGGAAATTGCGGATAATCTGTATGGTATTTGCGGTTATGATACACTATCCATGTTTCAAGTTCATTTTGAAAATAAAGTCGTGTGGTTCTGCGGTTCATTCCGTTTTGCGGTAATTGTGAACCCCTGCATCCATACGATCCACCTTTGCCAAACGAGCTTTGTACTATACAACCACAACGCATGGATAACATTACAAACCCTGTTACGAGATTGCCGTTCCATTCTAGAAAGAAAACAATTAACTACCACACAAAAGGTCCAAAGAAGATTACCGCAAAACGGTATGAACTTTGCATTTTTTTGTTTTTGTTTAGTCAAAGAATACATTTAAGAAGGCCTTGATTTAAACATTATCATTTTCCAGTTTTTATTTGTCAAACACATAAAAAAAAATATTTTTAAATAGGAACAATGTTGAAAATTTTGTCAAAAATCAACTTTTATTAATGTTTGAATCACCGTTTACATTCAACAGATTGAAAATATATTATTAATATTGAATAAATACACATCACATGCAGTTTTGTGCGTATAAAACATGTATTTTCATCTTTTAGAAAATATTTTTTTTACTCAGGCAAATTAATCAGTGAGTGATGGGTTTCAATTAGATGAAATTTAAAGTTCCCAGTAAAAAAAAACTACACAGAGAACAATAGCTATTGTATTTATTCAATGGGACAATAGAACTGACAAAAGTTTAAATAGATTGACCAATAGGAGATGAATCTGTGGAAAAGTTTCATTTGGTTTACAGTTGCAAATCCTGCTACCATTCTAAGGTCAATTCAAATAACTAAAGGTCTCTTGCACATTTTTTAGTTTATGAGATTTTGATGAAATCTTCATAGATTAATTGGGTCCTTTTTATTCTTTCTAATCAGCATGCACTTTTTCAATGATATATGTCAGAGAAAAAGTAGTTGCAAATCCTGCTACCATTCTAAGGTCAAGTCAAATAACTAAAGGTCCCTTGCACAATTTTGGTTATGGGATTTTGAGGAAATCTTCATAGATTAATTGGGTCCTTTTTTTTCTTTCTAATGACTCAATAAATGAAAAAGATATTACTATCCAGTGCTCAACATGCAGTTTTTCAATGATATATGTCGGAGAAAAAAAATCAAACTTTGAAATATAACTCCAAGTCTAGGCAAGTTGTAAAGGAATTCAAAAGAACTGCCAAGAAACCTGCAGTTAACACCAAATTATTTAATGGACACAACCACCAACATTAGGTTTCTGATTTAGGACATGCACATTATTTTTATGTTGTTTAGTGTGTTAGTTTGTTGTTATTTATTTATTTTTAGGCCATGATGGATAGAGATAAGCAAGATGAACTTCCAAAAATGCAAGTTGGTTTTATTGATGCAATATGTATTCCTGTATATAAAGTAAGTTAAATATCAACATTTCTCTAAAGTAATGATGCTTTTTAGCTTACCTAGCCTAAAAAGCCATGTTATCTTTTGTATTATATATGTACACATGTAGTAGTAAATACAAGTAAATTGTATGTGTTATACAGTCAAAGGAAACTGTTTCATATCAGCCATCTGTGATCATATGGATAACGGATACAGCTGCTATCAAACTAATCTTTTATTATGTCATGCAATGTGAAAAACATATGTTTTATTTATAGGATAAAAATTCATGATACCGCATTTTCAATATCAATTAAACACCGTATCAACCTTCAACCAATATAAACTCTCAGGATTATATTGGTGTGACTCTCAGGATTATATTGGTGTGACTCTCAGGATTATATTGGTGTGACTCTCAGGATTATATTGGTGTGTCTCAGGGTGTGATATTGAAATAGACATATAATATTCTCTTTGCATTGGAATGTGATTTTGGATACATGTTTTCATTGTTGAAGCCACCTTCAAGAAAATTTCTAAAATCTTGTTCTATCACTTGTTTTAACCAGTTGATTTGTAATCAGGAGGAAATACTGGCGGAGGCAAATATAATGTACCAAAACATAATTTTTACAGTTTGATTAAGAACATGATCACTTACATTGCAGAAAAAAGTATACCATATGCTGGGTCAAAAAAATACTTTGTAAATCTTTCAGTTAATGACATTAGGTGGGTTATTTCATAAACAAGTTACTGTACTAAGATTATACCATACAGTAGAGCAATGGAATAACAAACAAATACAAAAGTACCCTTTAATTTTTCAGATGTTTGCAGAATTAAATCCAGGGCTAGAACCAATGTTTGTTGGTGTAACCAACAATCGTAATAACTGGCAAGCTTTGGCAGAAGACAATGAACGTAAGACAATGGGAAATAGCCATGGTAGAATCTTATTAATTAAGAATAGACTTTATTTTACTGATATATTCTAATTTGTTATGCATGTGTAAATGAATTATTTTTACACTTTAGGAATTAATACATTTTGAGTTTTTGTTATAATTGATATTATGTAAACTAGCATATTTTTTAAGGTTTAATTTTATTTAATTTTTTTTATAGAACTGCAAAGCAAAATTTAGTCATGAAATAATTTATCATTATTGTTACTACACACTTGGTTTAATACACTACATTTAATTATAACTTTAATTTGATATTATTTAATTTATAACTAATTGGTATTTAAATGCAAATATTTATAATTATGTCACTTTAACGGCATATAGTGGTGTTACAATCTATATAAAGTACATGAGAATACAGTAGTCCCATGTTTCAACTTTTAACTAATCATTTTACTAACATACGTATGGGAACCTATAGTTGCTAACTTCTTTGTCATTTGGTCTCTGGTGGAAAGTTGTCTCACTGGCAATCATACAACATCTCCTTATTTATATATTATAATTCCTAATGTACTGGGAATTTCAATTCTTAGCTGTAGTTGAATACCTGTTTGCCAGTATTACAAAACACTTCTTATATTCCCATATGATTTGATATATTCATGGTATTGTCCTTTGTTTATTATCCAGATGAAAATAGAAGTACCAAGCTTCTGATTGTTAAAAATTGATGGATTTGATGGGACTTTTAAGTTTTGTAACACATTTTTGAAAATTGAAATAGGGTACAAAATTTTCTATAAATGCCTGGATTTAGTTTTATTCTCGCAGAATAGTTTCTTTTTATGCCAAAAATTTTGAAACTTTATCTTGAAGATAGGAAAACAATTGTAAATAGAATAAATTTCATTTATGAATCAATATAATTTATTCAAAATGAATAATTCAAGTGTAGGACTGCCTTATGTGCCTCCATTTCCTGAAGAGTATAATTGTCCCTAATTGTACATTCTCTTATGTTTGGTCCTACAAAAACCTGTGCTGTATGCACCCAAATTTACACAAACATTTATACTTTCATTGTCACTAAATATGCTTTCAACAACAAAAAAAAAAAAATTCCTGTCAACATATTCATAATTTTAGTGATATTTAACAGGAAACAAAGGTAAAATTTAATCAGACCACAGTGGACAAAATTGCATGTTTTTTTCTGAATTCATGAAAATGCCTACCAAGCAATGTTAGTTAGATCAGTTCACTTCAGAATGATCTAAAATTTTCAATTAAGTAACAATATATTTTCAATAATGTAACTTTCTCTTATTGGTGGTGATTATCAAAATATTATTTCAATTTAATACATAGCAAAAACAACAAACATGGACAAAGAAAAAGAAAAAGAAAAAGAAGAAATCAAGGAAGAAAATGATTCTCCACAGACCATAAAACCTCCCAGAACCAGTAAAGTAAAACCAGACCAACCACTAACAGCAAGAAAGGTAAGTGTCACTTGTGAATAAGATTTACCTCACACCATAAAACCTCCCAGAACCAGTAAAGTAAAACCAGACCAACCATTAACAGCAAGAAAGGTAAGCATCACTTGTAAATAAGATTTACTTCACACAATAAAACCTCCCAGAACCAGTAAAATAAAACCAAACCAACCACTAACAGCAAGAAAAGGTAAGTGTCACTTGTAAATAAGAGTCACATCACACCATTAAACCTCCCAGAACCAGTAAAGTAAAACCAGACCAACCATTCACAGCAAGAAAGGTAAGTGTCACTTGTAAATAAGATTCACCTCACACCATAAAACCTCCCAGAACCAGTAAAGTAAAACCAGACCAACCACTAACAGCAAGAAAGGTAAGTGCCACTTGTAAATAAGATTTACTTCACACCATTAAAACTCCCAGAACCAGTAAAATAAAACCAGACCAACCACTAACAGCAAGAAAAGGTAAGTGTCACTTGTAAATAAGAGTCACATCACACCATTAAACCTCCCAGAACCAGTAAAGTAAAACCAGACCAACCATTAACAGCAAGAAAGGTAAGTGTTACTTGTAAATAAGATTTACTTCACACCATTAAACCTCCCAGAACCAGTAAAGTAAAACCAGACCAACCATTAACAGCAAGAAAGGTAAGTGGCACTTGTAAATAAGATTTACTTCACACAATAAAACATCCCAGAACCAGTAAAGTAAAACCAGACCAACCATTAACAGCAAGAAAGGTAAGCATCACTTGTAAATAAGATTTACTTCACACAATAAAACATCCTAGAACCAGTAAAATAAAACCAGACCAACCACTAACAGCAAGAAAAGGTAAGTGTCACTTGTAAATAAGAGTCACATCACACCATTAAACCTCCCAGAACCAGTAAAGTAAAACCAGACCAACCATTAACAGCAAGAAAGGTAAGCATCACTTGTAAATAAGATTTACTTCACACAATAAAACCTCCCAGAACCAGTAAAATAAAACCAGACCAACATTAACAGCAAGAAAAGGTAAGTATCACTTGTAAATAAGAGTCACATCACACAATACAACCTCCCAGAACCAGTAAAGTAAAACCAGACCAACCACTAACAGCAAGAAAGGTAAACATCACTTGTAAATAAGATTTACTTCACACCAATAAACCTCCCAGAACCAGTAAATTAAAAACAGACCAACCACTAACAGCAAGAAAGGTAAGTGTCACTTGTAAATAAGATTTACTTCACACCAATAAACCTCCCAGAACTAGTAAAGTAAAAACAGACCAACCACTAACAGCATGAAAGGTAAACATCACTTGTAAATAAGATTTACTTTACACAATAAAACCTTCCAGAACCAGTAAAATAAAACCAGACCAACCACTAACAGCAAGAAAGGTAAGTGCCACTTGTAAATAAGATTCACTTCACACCATTAAACCTCCCAGAACCAGTAAAATAAAACCAGACCAACCACTAACAGCAAGAAAGGTAAGTGCCACTTGTAAATAAGATTTACCTCATACCATAAAACCTCCCAGAACCAGTAAAGTAAAACCAGACCAACCATTAACAGCAAGAAAGGTAAGTGGCACTTGTAAATAAGATTCACCTCACACCATAAAACCTCTCAGAACCAGTAAAGGAAAACCAGACCAACCATTAACAGCAAGAAAGGTAAGTGTCACTTGTAAATAAGATTTACCTCACACCATAAAACCTCCCAGAACCAGTAAAATAAAACCAGACCAACCACTAACAGCAAGAAAAGGTAAGTGTCACTTGTAAATAAGAGTCACATCATACCATAAAACCTCTCAGAACCAGTAAAGTAAAACCAGACCAACCATTAACAGCAAGAAAGGTAAGTGTCACTTGTAAATAAGATTTACCTCACACCATAAAACCTCCCAGAACCAGTAAAATAAAACCAGACCAACCACTAACAGCAAGAAAAGGTAAGTGTCACTTGTAAATAAGAGTCACATCACACCATAAAACCTCTCAGAACCAGTAAAGTAAAACCAGACCAACCATTAACAGCAAGAAAGGTAAGTGTCACTTGTAAATAAGAGTCACATCACACCATAAAACCTCTCAGAACCAGTAAAGTAAAACCAGACCAACCATTAACAGCAAGAAAGGTAAGTGTCACTTGTAAATAAGAGTCACATCACGCCATAAATCTCCCAGAACCAGTAAAGTAAAACCAGACCAACCATTAACAGCAAGAAAGGTAATCATCACTTGTACTGTGGATTCGTTTATTTTCATTGGTACTAATTTCCGTGGATGGAGGAAAAATTTTATTTTCGCAAATGTTTGATTTTCGTGATTTTATTTTTCAAAAGTTTGCATATGAGCCTACAGAAAATTTGTATTTTGTTGAACAGTTAAATTTGTGGTTCACTCATACTCACGTAATTTACAAAAATTGGTATTCCACTAATAATAATGAATTCACAGTATATAGGTTATCCTCGGACCATAAAAGGTCTCAGAACCAATAAAGTAAAACCAATTTAACCATTAACAGCAAGAAAGGTAAACATCACTTGTATATTGAAAATTAGATGGTTGACCTTTGACAATATCGTTATATATACTTGACATATGACATTAACACTTGTCTTAGCTGAATTCATATTTTAACCTCTATGTGTCATTTCATGTTTTGTTTTTTATTGTTTGCTTGCTGTATCATTGACTACTTTGATTCAAATGATAAACTTGTTTGTTCTGTTTCTGTCGTTTAGGGATATTGACTACTGAAATTAAAAAAAAGAACATGTCTTCTTTGTTTTTGCTTAGAGAGTATTATGGAATGTTTCAAAAATGGTAAAATGGAAATAGGCTTGTTTTGGAGATATTTGAGTTTAAATATCAGAATTTTTTGTGATAAAATAATGTTGTTTCTTTTCAAAGAAAATGTATATGGAGATATGAAAATTGAATTAATCAAGTTTATCTTAGGAAAATATTTTGCATAACATTAATTTCAAATGCTTTTTTTTTTTTAATAATAAAAAGAAATTAAGTGATCCCTAGCAAAAAAATACACTGTATTATTTTGGAAATGAGTAAAGAGTTACAAAATATGAGGGGAAGATAGAAAAAAAAACAAGCCAGCATTCACTGCAGCTCATGTGGCTAATGCTTTTTTTACTGTTCATTTCAACAAAATGATTGTGTAGATTTAAATCTACTTCAAATCTACACATTGTCTTGTAAAATTACTGCAGTGAGATGTTTATTGGTTGTGCCAAGAACATTTTTGAAACACCAAACATCATTAGACAGTAAAAATCATATGTTGTCTAGGGGGTAGACAAAGAGAATTTTTTTTAATTAAATGGTCGTTCATTGCACATGGGTGCAAAACAAAATCCATAGGAGCTGAAATGCATTAAATGAGTTCTTCATTCAACAATCAAAAGACTTATTATTCATATAGATGTTTATAAATTTTTAACTATAGGTTTCCTCATAAAATGATACATGTAGATATAAAACCAGACAATTTTAGGTACGTTATTTGATTATATCATTTTTGTCAAAACTATTCAAATTTTTCTGAAACTATTCACATTTCTATTTATTTTTTAATTTGCAATAAATATAAATCAGTTTCAGAACACAGCTTAATCTTGCCTGAATAACTTTTATACTGCCTTTGATAGATATTTTACTTCCCTGTTTCAATGTATATAATATTCTACAGATCGTAGTAATTTTAAAAGCACTTATAACACTGTATACATATGGATGCTACATCACACACAAGAATAGATTTTCATTTTTTTCATCATTAAAGCCACCCTTTATGATAAGTTTAATACAGTTATTGTAATTTGCCCCCACAACATTTAGTTGCACCATACCTTCTTGAAACCTTAAAATCTTCCTGCTATTGTTAATGTTGAAAGTCAACTGTTGCAAACATTTCAATTATTTGGAAACTGTATTTGCAGTTATATATTTATCTGTTCTGAAGTGTTGAAAAAAACAGCAGACTTGAGACTGTAAACTGGAGAGGTATGATCGTCATATTTAATTTGGTGTTTGAGCAACTGAAGGGAAATGTGACATCTTGCCTAAATGTGGCCTTTGTTTACAAAATGCAATGAGAACATCTTGTGTGAATTAATCTTTTCATAGAGAGCCTTGAAGATATCCCCAAAAAATTAACTTAGGGTCAAATATGTATAACATCCATTTAATAATGTTTCTATTGCCTGATAAAATTGAAAATTAATTTTCTAACCGCTAATTCATTAAAAGTATTCTTATATCAAGCAATATTATTACTACATTATTGAGAGAAAATATTATTAGAGAATACTTAAAAAATGTTTTTAAGACTTTACCTGGAAAAATACGAAAGTAAAACATAATACCAAAGTTAAAATCAGTCAGTATGCAACTATATTACATGGTCTGCTTGTACAAGACAATGTTGTCAGTAGCATTAAAAATTTCTTTCTACATCAAAGTGCACTGTCAAAATTTTGTCATAAGCATGCATGTATACAGAAATATTTCTTCATTTTTAAAAGTTTAAAATGTTCACTTTATTTTTAATATGATTTTAGACTTAATCAGGATAAGGTGTCAATTCTAATAATATGTAATGTAAATTTTTATTTTTGTGTATATTTAAAGAAGGAAATAAATAATTATGCATTTGACCTGAATAAAAATGTGAGGATTCAAAGGAGTACTTAGGACAAGGAACATCAACATTTGGTCCCAAAATTATTAGTATTTCATACAAATTTTTCTCAGGAACTAGAGCCAGGAGCCTCCTGAAAATATCTAGCTTTATGTGAGCATGCCTCTTGTTTCACATGAGAATGTGACAGAGTGTTTTTAAACAAAGCATTATTTTTTTGTATTATAGAGTGATGCATATTTTCATCCTTTGCTCATCAACTTCCTGTTAACCAAATATTTATAGTAGGGTATCATTATTGAGAATAAGCCCACAGTACATCTTATTTAAATTACTTTAAAATATTTACAAGCTGAAATCTGTTCCATATATAATCTTTAACTTAACATGCAAAATTAGACTCAACTACGATTCCAACAAAATAATTCAAAAATTGCTGTTAGCAAAACTAATAGCTTTATGGGAAAATATTTTGCTCTACAATTTTAAGGTCAAAGCACAAACCAGGCATTTAGAGAGAACTCCAACAAACATTTTATTTTCATATTTATAACTTCAAAACTTCAAAACTGGCTTAAAAACCTCCAGATAAATGTATACCAAATAGTAAGGGAGAAAACTCTTAACTGTATTAGTTCTTTGTGTCTTGCTCTGTATAGATGAGTGTCATTTATTTCATTCATTGAATACAAAATTATTATTAAAAATCACCCAAATAAAAGGTGGGGCATATTTTTATGCAATGCATTTCAAATGTTGACAGGCTTGATTATTTTTTTTTAAATACTTGAATAATTGATCAATTGAATAATTAAATATGTTCATGATGTTAGAATTAAACATAGGATAATTACAAAAATGAGTTGCATGAAATTTTAGAACTGATAATGGCATTTTGTTTAGTTATACATGTATGACCATTTGTGGTTCTTGAAAGGATAAACATAAATCTTTGAAGTTAGTCTAATTTCATGAACAAAACATTTACCTATTTTAATATTCACATTGATTTCTTTTCAGAGTTCAATTAAATCAAAGCAGATTACACCACAAAAGAAAGTTGTCATTAAAGAACCAAAAGGCAAAACGAAAATTTGTACATTAATGTGACAAAGAATATGTTCAGGCGAGCAGTGTGATTGTAACAATAAACTATTCATTTTATATACCGTACTTCCTGCTGAAAGTAGCGAGAATCTTCTGATATTGGTGTTGAAGTTGACCTTTAAGTGTGGAAGAAAACATGGAAATAGACAGTATAGTTCAATTGAACACAGCATTTTTTCTTCGAATAAATCACTCTAGGATGTTTTATTTTTATAGTGTGTTATATATTTATTTAATTTTTGTCTATACATCGTATGGCAGAGTTCTAGTAAAAGTCATGCAAGACTTTTATTCATATTAACATGTAACTTGTTAGGCCTTTGTCAGTGCTAACCATGACAGTACTAGTATATATAATTTGTCTTGTAATACAACAGTTGTTTTAAACAGGCAAAGAAGCAAGATGAAATGCAATATTTGTTGAGCATTATTTTGACTCTAATTTGACAATTTTTGTTAGTATGCATTAAATGAAAGGTATTGCCTTTTATTGATATTTTCCTTTGATCTTTCTGTATAGTTTTACATCTCATGCTACAGATGTGAAATAGATTTTTCTCAGTCAAGTAGAAAGAGAATGTATGACATCACATGCTTACTTCAATGACAACATCTAGGAAAATGGTGATAAACAAATAATCAATAGTCCTTTAAACTTGGCTACATCTCATCTCATAATTATTGCCCTTTGATGAGATTGTAGCCGTGAAACTAGCTCTAGTTTCGGAGAACCATCGATAATCTAAATTTTATAACTATTCTTTGTATTAAAACATAATTTTAAGTTGAGCTTTATAAAGTTCTGAATTTGAATTTCAAAGAGTAGTGTATTAAATTGCTTGGGAGAGTGAAAGTTGCTATTAGATACAGATTTTCATTGTACTGCATCTGTTGTACAATCACGCTCTACTTCTAATAGTTAAAATACATTGTAGCTTTGGGACATGAACTAGTCATGTAAAATTGTAGATATTCGTACAAAATTTTTGTCTTCTTTATACAAATAAAAAAATTGAAATTTATCAGAATACTTCGTCATTTAGAAAATCTTTGTAAATGGCCAAAATGATTAGAGCTGGCAAAATGACTGGATATACAAATCTTTACTTTCTTTCATGTATTGGTAAAATTCCTTAAAATTCCCATTCTATTACAAGTATAACTATTTTTCGCCAAAGTATTTCAATTTCAGACTCAGCTTTAATCAGCATATGAAACTATTAGAAGTGGAGCATGATAATACAACAGGTGCTGTACAATGAACATCTGTTTCTATCTTAGTTTATTTTATCCTTTACAGTAGGTATTACTTCTATCATATTTTGTCCTTTGAGTTAGTGCATAATATCATTATCAGATGTATATTTCATAAGTAAGTGCTTTTCAAAAATTGGATAGATTATTTTTCCTTGAATCCTTTTCTTACAAAAGAGTTCAACAATGAAAGTTTGCTTGATAATTATACTACTGTTTCAATATTTCACATGAGATTTTCTAGGTTGTGTGTGCACAACTTCATTTATGGCAGACATTTAATTATCAACATTTTTTAAAGTTAACCTGTATTTATCACATTACCATAAATATCCTGTGCAAAGGATATATATTTTGCACATGCTAATCAACATTACTTGTAAATTTATTTAAGTCATGCTGGAGCAACTTTGATTTTAATATTGATCAGTATTTAAAAAATCTTTTGTAAAATATTGAAAAGAATTGACATCTTACAAAAAAAGTTGTTAAAGAAATGAAAGAATTTTATGTTGCAAGATTTACACTTTAAAATTTGAATTTTTTAATTAAGCTAATGTTTAGATTTATGATTTGGTTTGCCAGAGTTTTTGACTTGTGCATAGGGCAGCTAATAACTAGGGTCATTTTGTAAATTGTTATGGAAGGAGATATTAAAGACTGATAGTTTTTAGCTCACCGGGGCCCGAAGGGCCCCATGTGAGCTTATGCCATCATTTGGCGTCCGTCTTCGTCCTTCGTCGTCGTAAACTATTTCAAAAATCTTCTCCTCTGAAACTACTGGGCCAAATACCTTCAAACTTTAACTAAATGTTCCTTAGGGTATCTAGTTTATAAATTGTATCCGAGGTTTTGATCCATCGACAAACATGGCCACCATGGCTAAAAATAGAACATAGGGGTCAAATGCAGTTTTTGGCTTATATCTCAAAAACTAAAGCTTTAAGAGCAAATCTGACGTGGGGTAAAATTGTTCAATTGGTCAAGATCTATCAGCTCTGAAATTTTCAGACGATTCGAACAACCCATTGTTGGGTTGCTGCCACCAAATTGGTAGTTTTAACAAAATTTTGCAGTTTTTTGTTATTATTTTGAATATTGTTATAAATATATATAAACTGTAAGCAGCAATAATGTTCAGCGAAGTAAGATCTACAAAAAAGTTAATATGACCATAATTGTCAATTGACCCCTTAAGGAGTTATTGCCCTTTAAAGACAATTTTACACAATTTGTTCATCAAGTTTGCTAACATTTAAAAATCTTCTCCTCTGAAACTACTGGGCCAATCACCTTCAAACTTTAACTAAATGTTTCTTAGGGTATCTTGTTTATAAACTGTATCCGAAGTTTGTATCCATCGACAAACATGGCCGCCATGGCTAAAAATAAAACATAAGGGTCAAATGCAGTTTTTGGCTTATATCTCAAAATCTAAATCTTTTAGAGCAAATGTGACATGGGATAAAATTGTTTAATTGGTCAAGATCTATTGGCCCTGAAATTATCAGACGAATCGAACAACCCATTGTTGGGTTGCTGCCACCAAATTGGTAGTTTTAACAAAATTTTGCAGTTTTTTGTTATTATTTTGAATATTATTATAGATATATATAAACTGTAAGCAGCAATAATGTTCAGCAAAGTAAGATCTACAAAAAAGTTAATATGACCATAATTGTCAATTGACCCCTTAAGGAGTTATTGCCCTTTAAAGACAATTTTACACAATTTGTTCATCAAGTTTGCTAACATTTAAAAATCTTCTCCTCTGAAATACAGGTGAGCGATTCAGGCTCTTGAGAACCTCTTGTTTATGCCCCCGCTGTAGGCAACAGGGGCATAAAGTGTTACCCTTGACTGTCCATCTTTTTGTCCGTCTGTCCCTCCTTCCATCCATCTTTCTGTTTGTCTCTAACTTAAGTTTGCCTCATCCAAATTTTATGAAACTCGTACACAATTCTAAAAACTAGAACATGCAGACAGTTCAAACTTGGGCAGGAGTCATTTACTGTTCTAGAGTTATGACCCTTTTTAACTTGGAAAATTGCAAAGCTTGAGTGGGGGGCATTTGTGTCCTCAGACACATTCTTCTTTTATTTTTATGTAAAAGAACTTCAATACAGAGAATTTTTTTTTATATACAACAACTTCAATACAGAGAGTTTTTTTTTATATAAAACCATTTCAATACAGATAGTTATTTCTCTCATATATAGTTGCAAAAAACTATGATGTTGATAATTTTGGATTAGATACTCTTGATGACTCACCCAAGCATTTGATTGATTGTGGTTTATAAAGCTATATAGTTTAGAATTCATTGCTAACTTGTGTTCAGTCAAACTCTTCTTTGGTTTTCTTTCCCTAAAATAGAACATATTTCAGTTACTTAGCTGTTAATAAGCCAATCCTGAGCAAGTGAAAGTATACAGATCTCACATGTGAATAGAATTTAGTTTTTAATATATTAAATCATCCTTAAAAATAATTCAGAAATGGCTTGCTGTATTCTCAAACTGAAACAACAGCAAATGAAAACTAAAAACTATTTAGACATTAAAGCTTCAAACCGGTGAATGGTTAACAAAATAATTTTAAAAGAGTTCATTATTGTATATTGCAGTAATTAAATTACTTTTTAAAAAAGTAACTATATATAGTCATGATGAACATTTTCAAGTATCCTCTGAAATATGATAGAAATGGACAAAAGAAAAATACTTGAAAAATATTTGTGTTTCTATGAATTGAAATGTTTTATACCTCAATAAGATGTAGTTTGCTTATCCACTACATTAGTTGGACCATAGATGTATAAGGTATATTAAAGCACTAGTTTATTTATATGGAGGTTTGGTTATTATTAATATTATTTCTGTTTGTTTTTCTTGCAATGCCATAGACTTGTCGTGCTGTTCTTAAATGTTGGAAGAACCTTACTTTATGCAAGTACAAGTAAATTGTAATTTGCCTTTTTAGAATATAAAGTAATTTTGGTTATTTACAAAAATGCGACCAACAAAATATTATGATTGGTTAATAATGTTCTAAGGGGATATTCAACCAATACTTTATCATTAATATATAGGTTTTTTTGTGTACTAACATTGAAAATACCCTTATTTTTTCTTATTCTAAAATGGCAAAGTCATTTGATGATAAAAGAAAGATACAAAATAAATCCTTGTGATCAGAATGTCTTCTTCTTGTTGTGTGATACCTTTTAAACTTTTATGAAAAATAACATTAAATTTGTTTTAATTTAGAATAACATAATTGGTTTTACATGTTTGCTGGTTTCAGTCTTTGATTTGATGTCTTAAAACTCTTTTACTGTTCTCACCTGATGCATAACTCTTATTAGAAATATCAAGTCCATTGTTGATGGAGGTAAACAAAAAATTATTATATTCTAACACATTATTTACTATATGTAAATCAACTCTTAAAAAGTGATCAATTTATTGTTATGCTTTTGTTTGCTTAAGACTCGTTATTTTTATGATGTGATTATTTATTTATTTATTTAAATGACCCTAAAATTTTAGTATTTAATTTATTTATTGCTCTGCTTTATTTTCAACAGTGCCAACAGTATTGTCATTTATATCTGTTCTGTGATACTTAAGATTATAATTGCTTATTTTACAAATTCATTACAGCATGTACTAACAATGTTTTATCATTTGTTTTGTTAATTTATGTTAAAACCCGACTCTAAGAGTGGGGCTGCTATATTGCATTTACCTTGTCCTTCTGTCTGTTTGTCCATCTGTTCATCAAACAAATTTTTCTCCAGTATATTTAATAGCATGACTTTATATTTGGTCAGCACTTTGACATTGATGAGTTTCTACATGTGATCACTTTTTCGAGTCTGTCAAACACCTTCTTTCTGTTTTCCAATTCTTTGAATTACTAGTGGGGCTATACTTAATAGCACCACATGGCATGCAATCTTGTTCATATAGGTTTGAGTTTTTATTAGTTAGATGTATCGTCTGAAGTTTGTTACTATGATTGTTGAAGCATAGATGAATAAAAAGCCTGGCTTTATACATCTAGAGTTGAAGTATTTTTTTACATATATATATATTAGCTTGATGCATGAAAATTCCATGTTTCATGTTTTGTATGAATATTGATGTTTTGTTAAAACTTTTTGATTGATGATAGTAGATAGAACAATTTTACAAATTTAAGTGAATTTGCTTTAAACAAAAACTACAAATGGAAATCCTTCACTTCTGTTTACCAAAAGCTTGTCTCATATGTTGTATCTTTGTAATAGTGACTGTTTTTTACTTTGCCACAGATAGTCGATGTATCCTTGTTATAGATTCAATATTTTTATTAGAAAGTTACTTTATCACTACAATCTTACTATATAGTTCAAAACAGTTCTAACACATTGAGGTCACAATGATCTACATTTTGTAAGGTCTGAAGATCTTGTCAGTCATTAATCTTTGATTTGTTGATTTAGCATTGGCCGTTATTATTACGACAACAGTTTTCAGTACTGATTGCAACATGATAGTGACCTAATATTTAAATATTTTTGCAACATTTGGATCAGCATGACCTTCATTACTATAAATAGAACATATATTATTATCTAGGGCATTATCTTTAGTTCTAATTTACCTTTGTGTTGCATTCATGTTTTTGGCTCTCTAAAACAGAGATTTGATTATTTTTGTAGTTCTTCTAGTCAACAAATCTTAAACAGTATTATTTCAAAATTTGAATAACAGTGAAATCAGTATCTAGCTAGAAAAACAAATTATCATTATTTGATAAAACCTGGTGATTTTAAAAGTTTGCAGGTTAAGACATATTGTTTCCCTTTCAGAAGTTTTATCGTTCTGTTTTCAATTAGAAATGAATCTGTTGTATTCTTTCATATCTTTAAATGATTTCTTTTTCTTTTTTTGAAAATTTAACATTTGTAGTACAAATAAAAGAAATAAACATGTTAGAAATGTTTCAAGGGGTTTGGAGATTGTGCTGCTGGTTTATTGTAATTCCTCTTTATATTATTATCTTTCAGTGCAATTAATAGTGCATTAGTTGGATTACTCAAAATTATGTTCCATGTACAAGTTTAAAGGAATATTTTTGTTGTTGTAAAAACTATATGCCAATTTTGCCTTATTTGACAGTCTTACACCAAGCAACACCTTCTGAAGAAGTCAACAATCCAAACAACACCTTCTGAAGAAGTCAACAATCCAAACATACTGCCAGATTTATTATTATTGTATTATTTTGTTGAAATCAAGTTTTGGTCTTTTTTTGAAAACATTCAGCATTACACAATCAATAAAATACCTTAGAACATATACCTTGTTTTCCAAGACAACCACAAGAATATTTATTATTTAAAACTTTTTACCAATGATATTATTATATGTTGATAGTCTACTGTGATAGGTGATTGTTTTGTTATGTCTCATATTATAATGTTACATTTCTGTTTATTAAACTATGCCATTCTTTGAGACTAATGTTATTTATTCTTTGATATCTACACAGGTAGTTATTTTGATTGCAGAACTTTGATTGAGAGATGATTAATATGAAAAAAGATTTTATAAAGGCTACAAGACACATCTTATAGGCTACACTTCTGTTAATATAGACGATGAAATTTCCCATAGGCTCTCCTTTTACGACTAAAACTGTCCTACTTATACTATGAAGTTATATCCTGGAATAGAAAATTCACATGCCTTGAACTTCTTGAGTTCAAATTTCTACTAAAATTATATACTGCCCCTCTTTTTACTTAGTACTCTTGAGAATTCAAATGGCGTATTCAATAGAATTTTATGTAAATTGTATGCCACCTGTTATAGAAACTAAAACTTGAACTTTGGTTCACATCATTTCACTTCTATCAACATATTCAATGCCCTGACATTTCATTCTTAAATACATGATTTTTTGTCTCATCTGCTACGAAAGTCACAGAAAGCGATACATAGGGATTGCTTTTCCGGCGACGGCTTCGATGACGGCATCAACAATTAAGTTTTCTGCTCAAGTTAGATTGATAGGAACTACTGGTGATAGATCAATGATATTTTCTATAAAGTTGCATTACTATCAGTACATATCAGTTTGATGACTATTTTAAGGCCCTGCCCCTAGTCATGGTCCAGTGACTTTCAATCAATTAACAATTTTCAATGTTAAGTTTTATGATTAAGTTAGTTTGATAGGAACTACTTACAATAAACAATATTTCTATAAAGTAACATTGCTGTTTGTACATCTCAGTTTATCAACCATTTCATGGCCATTCCCACTAGTTGGTTCAGCGACTTTGAATTACTGTAAATTCAGAAATTATTGCGAAAAATGCGACAGGGTTATAATCGCAATAATTTAAACTCGCATTTTAAAATTTTTTGTATGAACTAAACAGGATTTTTCTCAATATCGCAAAAATTAAAATCGCATTTTAGTCTAAAATGACAAAATCGCAATAATAAATGCACGCAATAATTTCTGAATTTACAGTAATTAGCAATGTTGCTGTCCATCAGATTGTCTTTTTCTGAATTTAATGCCGACAGGCAACACATATCTCTGTGTCAACAGTTTATTATTGGTTGTTATTGGCTCTCAACTAGCTTTCCCTTTGGTCTTTATTCGACCCACAGTAAAACCCTTGCCAAAGTGGGGTTTGTGCTTGGCTGTACGATGTATAAATGTGCAGTCACATCCGATCAGAATATGGTGAAGTTATATCTGATCCCTCGTGTAGAGAAAATGCCAACTGTGGACACAGGGTCTGTATTTTAATAGGATTAAGTAAAACAAAAACTTGTATGAACATAGAGGAATGACAATAATTATTCAAATTCCTAAGCAGGATTTTACAGTACAGGATATCCGAAGATATTGAAATTCTTGAATTTTGTTAGATAGTATTAACAGAACCAAAGTAGTGCATTAGGCATCGACTGTGTGTGTGTGCGTGTTGGTGTGGCAGCAGGGAAAAGGGGGGAGGGCAGGATTTTTTAGAATCAAAAGATGAATGGTCAGTGACTAGCCCAAATGAAAGTTTGATATTTACCTGCCAGATTTTCTAAGGAAGGATTGTCAATATTTACTATTCATTGAGGTATATATCAACTATCTTTCATCAAATAGATTGATATAAAAGGGCTAAAAAGATTTACTAATAAACTAAATTGCTAAGCTGGACAATGCCGATTGTATAATATTTATTTTTTAAGATTTCCGATTGTACTGTGTAAATTTATTTATAATTCTTAAAACTTTTCATGATAAAATGACTAGTAAATGTTATGTTTTGTGTACACCTAATTCACAAAATTTGCATCTAAAAATATAAAGTTATAAAGGGACATAACTGAAGAACGGTAAAAATGACACTACTCAAATTTGTACTTGATCTGAGTTTTGTGGTAATAAGTATTGTGTATAAGTTTCATAAAATTTGGTTGAGGCAAACTTAAGCTAGAGACAGAAACGATAACTTCAGCAATTTTTCCATTTGTAAAGGGGCATAACTCTAGAACAATAAAAGTGACACCCCCAAAAATTCAAACTTATCTGTATTTTGTGGTAATAAGCATTGTGTATAAGTTTCATAACATTTGGTTGAGGCTAACTTAAGTTAAAGAACAGAAACGAAAAGTTCAGCAATTTTTCCATTTGTAAGGACACAACTCTAGAATGGTTTAAGTGATGCCACCAAAATACAACTTGATCTGTATTTTGTGGTAATAAGCATTGTGTATAAGTTTCAAAACATTTGGTTGAGGCAACTTAAGTTACAGAACAGAAAGTAAAGATTTTGCATTTTTTTCCATTTATAAAGGGGCATAACTCGAGAATGGTTCAAGTGACCCCACCAAAATTCAAACTTGATCTGTATTTTGTGGCGATAAGCATTGTGTATAAGTTTCATAACATTTGGTTGAGGCAAACTAAAGTTAGGGAACGGAAACAAACTTTGGGACGTACGGACAGACGGACAAGGGTAAAATTTAATGCCCCCTCTGCTACGGCAGTGCATAATAAAAAAAATGTTTTCATGCACAGAATAATATATTCAAGAATAAAATGTTCCGCTGGGCGCAGCTTGATACGACCGCAGAGGTCGAACCCTGAACAGTTGGGGCAAGTATGGACACAACATTCAAGCTTGATACACACTGAATTTGGATTGTGATTAAATATTTGACACAGCATAGGTTTCTGACACAGAATGAATGTGGTCTAAGAACTTAAAAATTTTAAATTGGACATTCACCTATTATGGTCCAATATCCCAAATCTAAATTTTTACCTATTCAAACCATATCATTATTATTTGCTTTTACAAATGTATATATAAATCAGAAATAACCAATTTAAAATGGAAAATTTTAAAGAAAAAAAAAGGAAAAAAAGGGAAAAAAAAATCCATCCCCCCAAATTTTTTGAACCCCCTTATGATTCATCACCCCCAAACTCAATCCCAGCCTTCCCTTTGTGGTATGGTACCTTGCAGTACAATTTCAGAGAGCTCCATACACTTGAACACAAGTTATTGTCTGGAAACTAGAAAAATGCTTGTTTTTTTACCCCCTTTTGGCCCCAAATTCCTAAACATTTAGGCCAATTACCCCCAAACTCAAACCCAGCTTTCCCTTTGTGATATGGAACCTTGTAGTACAATTTCATAAAGATCCATACACTTACACACAAGTTATTGTCCTGAAACTAGAAAAATGCTTGTTTTTTGCCCCTTTTTGGTCCCTAATTCCTAAAATTTTGAGGCAATTACCCCCTAAATTAATCCCAGCCTTCCCTTTGTGGTATGGTACCTTGCAGTACAATTTCAGAGAGATCCATACACTTGAACACAAGTTATTGTCTGGAAACTAGAAAAATGCTTATTTTTGTCCCCTTTTTGGCCCCTTATTCCTAAACATTTTTGACAATTACCCCCAAACTCAATTCCAGCTTTCCCTTTGTGATATGGAACCTTGTGGTACAATTTCAGAAAGATCCATGCACTTACATGTTATTGTCATGATACTAGAAAAATGCTCGTTTTTTGCCCCCTAATTCCTAAAATTTTGAGAAAATTACCCCCAATATCAATCCCAGCTTCCCTTTGTGATATGGAACCTTGTGGTACAATGTCAGAGAGATCCATACACTAATACACAAGTAATGTCTGGAAGTTACTAAAATGCTTATTTTTGGCCCCTTTTTGGCCCCTAATTCCTTAACTGTTAGTACCATAACCCCCAAAATCAATCCCCACCTTCCTTTTGTGGTATTGAACCTTATGGTAAAATTTCATAGAGATCCTTTCACTTAAACTAAAGTTAGAGTGCGAAAACCAATGTGTCTTCGGACGACGACGCCAACGTCATACCAATATACGACCGCAAAATTTTTTTGCGGTCGTAAAAAAAAAAAATTAGAAAAACGAGTGTTCTTTATCTAGTGCTTTCATCCTTCTGTAGGGACTTGTCAAAATTCTGGCACATTGTAAAGGGAAAAGTCGCTGTAAAGGTAACTATGACGTTACGTTATTGTTCTTTAAGTTCTATAACTCTTGCATTAAGTGTTTAGCTTTGGTTTGAATATTTTTATATTTACATTTTTATATTTCATATTCTTATTCTTATTTTTTTATAGCCCCGGATCATTATCCCTTTGTCTCGCTTTCTGCGACGGAAGTTGCAGGCGAGACAAAAATGTAATAAAACAAATTTTGATAACTATTTATTAAGAAATAATCTGTTTAAATACAAATAAAGATTGCCTAGCCTGTGATACTAACAACAATACAACCCTTTTGACTAGTTCTACATTTGATTGTAAAATAAATATAATCAAAAATATAATCAAAACAAATATACAACATCACTAAATAACAATTATTGATATGTAATCTGGGTAACATTATAAATTTTACAAAGAAACACAGTAAAATTGTTCTTTACAAAATATTCTAAAACATTTATGTATAAAAGACTAGACTTTTTAAAATCAAGATACCCTAAATAAATTTTAAATTTTATTTGATATAAGAATCAATTTTTTTTTTAAACTTTTCTACACAGAAAATAATTATTTGCAATAGCTCCGAGTCAAGCATAATCATATTGAATTTCGTGACATTTTGAATTTTGAATTTTTTGGTTTTCTCATAAAGCATATACCCAATAAAGCTAGTTAATAAAAAAATGAACAAATATTAGCACACAATAATGGTCCTAGTACACTTTGGTGTTTGTGTAAATCTAACTCAGCTCGCTCTCTTTATGTTAAAATACAAAAATGTATAGGTAATTCTTTGGCCATTTTCTTAAACCTAATCAACATAAAAAATCGATGGGATATCTTAAATAAAAACATTTATTACAATGGTTGCAATGAAATACTGTCATTTCCCAGTCAAATAAAAACATAATTTCACATGTTACATAGAAATAGATGCAATACTTTATTAAATTAATATTAAAAGGCAATTTAATAAAAAGTATAACTATTTCAAGAATCAAAATATTGAAAAATATTTATCTAAAGTCCAACAACTGTGATAATTCTATCATGTGCTGCAGCTTTCATGAATACTATAAGTGTTGTTTGGTCACTTGTGGTTAATTTTTTCATATTCTTGGATTATATGCTTTATATCAAAACAATGTTGAATCCAACTTTATCTCGGTTAATGTTAAGAAATGTTTCTCTCTATCTATAAAAGTGTCAAGATAATAGGCAAAAACAGAACAAAAATAATAAAAAAATGTCATTTAAGAGTAATAACTCTTTTTGGTCATTTTGGTTGGCAGGCAGGCTCATTAGACACATATTTTAAATAAGATACCCCAAGGATAATTGTGATTAAATTTGGTTCCAATTGGTCCAGTAGTTTGACTTTAAGTTAACAAATGACAACCGATGGCAGATTTGGACCAGGTGAGCTAAAAAGGAATTGTCTTTATCCCTTTAGGAAACATATCATCAGAACTTTAACTAATATTTCAATATAAGATAGCCACACACATTCTAGCTTCCTTTTTTAAAATAAAGAGAGGCAGCTATGGTATGTGACATAATTTCTAAATGCCATGGTAATAACTACAATAAATTACAATAACTAGCACCACAATCAAAGAAATAGACATCCAGTGTCTTAAAAGGAATGTAAAACTATGAACACATAGTACAACATGGATTTTTTTTCTAAAAATATAAATAATGGATTTCCTTATAGTTAAAAATGGAATGTTAACTTCATACATTAATAATTAACTTTATATGTACAAAATATACAATCATAATTTATCAAAGTGTTAAATTGGCAGTTAAAAAATCAATAATTCATTTTAAAACTTGTGTTCAATCTGTTCTTATTTTTGGTGTTGATACTTCAACCCAAAATCAAACAATTTCCTTATACAAACACATCTGACATTAATGTATCAGTAATATCGGAGTACAAAATTTGGACTAACATGTATTTCTGTTTTCAAGATATGTGAGTTCAACTCAAGATATTTAAAAAATACAAAGAATTCTATCATTTACAGGTGTTTACTCAAAATTTGTTTTAATTAGCCATTAAAGATATCATGTAAATAAATTTTAGATGGAACTGCCTGCAAATTTCTTGTTCACCATATTTCAAGGTAAACTGTATTTTTAACGAAAATCTCAAGTAAAAATTTATATAAGGAGCTGTGCCAAGTACAGCATGGTACGACTAGGAAAAGTTAAAATGTGTTTACAAAAATATCAGTACTGTTTATTTATAGTATAATATGCTGGCAGCAGTGCTGATTTAAGTATATATTTTCATGCCTTTCACCCATTAAAGATACAAAGCATAAAATATGTGATTAAATCTGTTGAAATATCCCCAATAGAATAGAAAAAAAAGAAACATATTTTAACATCTGTTAACATACATCTAAAATCTCTTATCAAAAGTAAGTTCATGATCCAATCTGGGTTAATCAGATGAAAATAAAATTTTTGTCCTTGACGTAAAAGTTCAATTTCTTTGTCTGTTTTGTCTCTATTATAAAAGGCAAGAGACTGAAATCCTCAATTAAATTTACAGGCAGAGATTTTCATAAACATTTGCAAAGAACTTTACTAAAATAAGATTTTGAATTAAAAAAAAACCACAATAATTTTGGAAATGATATCAATTGGGTTCCTTGTCTACCAGGAAGAATATTGTTACATACAATTACTTTCATCTTTCCAAAAATGAATCAAATCTAATGAAAAATAAATGGGGTATATCAAAACTGGTGAAGACACTATCATGTGCCCTCCTGACCTTTTTAAGTAAGAACTTGAGAACCAAAATCCCTATAATTTGATATGTTTTTTTCTGTAGTCTTAAGGATCAGTTGGATGAATAGTTTTGGGGTCAGTCAATTTTATCAAGTCTTTGCATTAAAACAAGGTGTTCTTGGACAATGAAATCATCACACTATAACATTGCCACATCATCTTTTTATACTTATGGTCATGATGATAAAAAATAAATGTTGGACTAATAGTTGTGCCAACGATAAAAATTAATGTCAGTTAATGATCTGTTACAGAATAAAAATTCTTTAAGTCTTTGAAAATTTCTTTAAAGAATGGACTTCCTGTTTATTTACTCTTCAGATTAAATTTCTCTTTTCTAATACAGACACTAACAAATTATATCAATGTGAAAAAAAATGAACAATGAGACAGAATTCCTGGTCTTTAAATGATAAAATATTATAAATCAAAACTGACTTCTAATTATATAAGTACATAATTATATTGTAATTCCCTGATTAAAATAAGGACTAGCTAAAATAATGATATGAGACAGATCATAAGTGATATATATTATGTTCTAATTCATTTCTGAAATATATAAAAAAAAAAATCTTATTGTAGAAATCTTATTGTACTAAATTTGAAGAAAAAAAATGTGCCTCCTAAAATGAAACAAACTTTGTAACAATTTACCTTTACAAACAAACAAACAATTACATGTAAAAGTAAATATTTATAGCCCTATGGAAAATGCTATATCTTTCAGTAAAAATTCTATATAAACAGAATTATTTTAACATCTTCAGAGAGTAGATTCAGAAATCTAATATTGAAAACCTTTATTCTACATTTATAGTGTTATTTGATACAATTGAAAAACATATACTTCTAGTTTAAAATAGTTAATCTTCAATTAAGAAGGTTTTATCTAATTACTTCAAAATAGTGATACATGATTTGTGAATTTAATGGCAACAAAATAAAATGGCTAAAACTTAGCTAAATGGTGATGTTACGCAGAAAAAATATTACTTGTTTTACAAAAAATATATAGAAAAGTCTTGGGAGATAGATAAATTCACAAGTTTACCAATGAATTTCATTTAACATTCAAAATCTAATTTAGAAAGTATTAGTCAAATGCTTTTAACAAGTATGGAATCCTAAGGATATCGTTTTTTTGAAAAATAAAATCTGGGTAACCTTTATGCTTCTTTACATTTACCAAAAAATGTTAAAATTTGCTGTTTTGAAGTTACATTCACTTCAATTATCTCCCCTTGGATTGTACACTTTAGTGCAAAATATTATCTCCCCTGATCAAATCATAAATTCTTTAATTTGTAAATTAAATCCATAATTTTTTGCATTTGTAAGAATGTGAAACAGTGTACTTAAATTTGTATAACATATACAAAGGTTATATAAATAAGTTCTTAGTTTTCATCAATTTTGCTAGAAAAACATGATACAAAGATTACAGGAAAAAATAGAATAAACAGTTTTTGATTTTAAAAATAAAAAGGTGGGAATTTATACTCTTACAACAGTAACAACTATAAAATGTTTTATAACACTTACATAACAAACTAATCAACAACATCCAAACAAATAATAAAGTATAATGCTGATTAATGGGATACTTAAAATGTAAATAAAGTAACAACTATATTTTAACTGAAAACTTGCAAGACTGTCACAAACTGCATAGTACATAGTCATTAAGAAAACTTATCGCACCGCGGGTAAATTAGTGACGTTAATTGGTTTAATACCACCGTGTGTTGACTGTCTATGGATCCATATGGGTCAATAGATTTCATATGGGGTTCATGACATCACATCCTCAATGGTGACGTCATCTTTTACTGTAATGGTATTTCATTGTTTATTTTAAACAAAACTTGAGGGGAAAGACCCCTGTTCATTAAATTTGTAATACGGTTTACTACTGATCCCATACAGATCTAAAGAGGGTCAATAGCAACCCATATAACTTTATAAACTATATTTACAAATATTAAAATATATCAATTCTTATATGTATGCCTTGACTAAGTTTTATCTAAGTCATGTATGTGATTCATTTTGAATCAGCAGAACAAGTTCCACAGTTGCGTAGGAAATAATCCAGAGCATAAAATTTTTCTTTGGTGTCATGGAATATAATGATTCTAATACAATTTAGCTTTTCACTGTTATTAAATTTGCAACAAATAGTTATCCAATTCCACTTATATATTTTCATTAGAAAGTTTTATCATAGATGATACAGATCTAGATGTAAGAACACATATATTCTTTACAAACAAAGCCTTCACTAGATAAACTAAGGACAGACATTTTATATAACATACATTTAAAATGTCTTCTTTACTTTATTATTTCATTCCTCTCAATAAAAATTGCAAAATTGGAAGTTTTCTCAAGCAAATAAAATAACTTAACATACAATTTTTCATATACAGAATAACATTCATTTTTATAAATCTACTTTTGTACAAACTTTACAAAAAGGCACAAATGCAAGCCTTCATTTCACAAAAGTGATTGTACTTATTTGTATAATCGAGTCTTATGACATTTTGTGAAAACAAATATATTTTGTAGCCAGAAACATTATATCTGTTCTCTTACTCTGCGTTTTTTTGTTAAAATTGTTTGGGTTTTAAATATACATTGTATCAACACTGAACACCAAATTACTATATGCCCCCTATTACCTCAAAATGTTATCACCAAAAATACTATGTACCCCCCTTTTACCTCAAAATGTAATCTTTGAAGAAAATCCAACATTAAATGTTTATAGCAATATCAGCACAGGTTAAAAAATTCAGTTTATTTTGTTACCAAAGTTGACATCACAGTATTCTATTATTTGAACATATAAGATTTCATAGTCCTGAATTCGTACAAAATGTAACTCTATGCATAATTCATTTCGTTACAAAACAGCAGCCAAAATTTTCTTGCATTGAATGAAGGCAGAACTGATTATGGTATTAATCATATTTACACTTGAAAAGACACTGTCATACCCTTTCTGTACATCTGGGTTTTATTTTCCCAATTCTTGTTAATATCCCCCAAAAAGTGGACTTTGGAGATATTGTTCCCTGATGATACCACTGCTACAAGTATTTGGTATAAAACAAGTTGATGATTGATGGATTGATGAAAACTCAATGTATAGCATGTTCAGATGAAGCTTTATACCTGCGGTAATAATACATGTAAGAAACTCATTTGTAGTTGCTGAAAAAAATGCAACAAAAATTTCATACATGCCATTATGTGTAAGAAAAGATAATTATTTGGTAAACATGAAGTTGATGAACAATGGATTGGTCCGAAGGACAGACAGACAGACATAAAGGCAAGGCAGTATATCCCCATTCCTGTGGAGTGGGGGTATAAAAAATTCAATTTGTAAGAATGTGTTAGTGTTCAGTAAAATGAAATTTAAAGAGGAATGCATGTAAAGACACTTATAAGGGTATAACTTGATACCAAATTTCTGGAAGTTCTGATTTATATATCATGAGATATGAGACAAAAAACTTCATACATGACCATGTGTAAAAATACATGAATATAAGTATTTGGTAAACAGGAAGCTAATTAGAAATGTCTGCGAAAGACAGACAGATAAAAAGCAGTATACTCACACTATTTCAGAACAGGAATATAAAAAAAATATTCAATTTATGGAATTTAGTTATTTTTAAACAATGTTTCCTGCATGACAGTGACTTTTCAAGCATGCTTTTCTGTAACAAGGCATTATCTAAGCAGTTCAAACTAACATTAGTACAATATAATGCCATTGTCTATAGCCTTGTTAGCCTCCTGTGTGCAGGCACACCTCACGCTGTATCCAGAAAACATAAGTAGGACTAAGTTCAATAAGAAACCTACTAACGATCCCACAGTGAAGTAAAATGAATAGTCCAAAGACGATTCGGTCCGGAATGTATGGTATTTGTAGTCGTTCTGCGGTAATACATTTTCTGCAAAGTTGGTTTGGAACAGCACAGCAAACAAGATTACTCCAATTAACATGAATATCACTGGAAATAAAAAAAAAAAAACATAATTTTGTTGGGCTTCTGACTTATCACTGCTAAAGCAACATCTCTTTTCTTTATATCTAAACATCTCATTGTCACTTTTGAATTTCTATCCATAAATGACTGAAAAAAAATATTGTATATATATACTATACTATATACAATATATTTTTTTTTAATCATTTATGGATAGAAATTCAAGTGACTGTGGTCCAAGTCATGTATGTATCTTTATCACTATTTTCTGTGTGATAGTTTTTCATCTCAAGCTACTTGACTAAAAGTGTTTTTTCTCAGTCAAGTAGAGTAACATCATTAGGCAACACCATAGACATTGCCTACTAATATAGGAATAAACAGAATATCTATGGTCTTTCAAAGTAAGGAAGTTTCTTGGCTACATCTCATTTCAGGGCTATCATCTTATGATCAGATTGTAGTCAAGGGACTTATCAGAAGATTCAGAACCATAGATAATCCAAATGGCTATCCAGTAAAATAAAAGAAGAATGTGTCTGAGGACACAAATGCCCTCCTTAAGATTGCTTTTCAAACTAAAATGGGAGGGAGGGATGGAAGGACGGACAGAAAGACGGAAGGACAGATGGAAAGAGGGAAGGACTGACGGAAGGACGGTCAAGGGTAACACTTTTAAAATGCCCCCTTCGCCTTGCGCGGGGCATAAAAACAGTCAAACATTCATGATTCTCATAATAAAATGAATGTTTAATTATTTACTGATGGATTGAGGTTAACCCACATTTATTTTCTTTAAGTGACTGCAGCTTGATCAAAAATAAAACAAATGAAAAAAGGAAGAAAGGGTAAAAATATATTCTGATTCTGTCAGTAATCAAAGTTGAGTCTATTAAGAAATCTGCCAGAAATAAAGATAATGATGTGGAAAAGTCATGACAATTCAACATGTTTAGCTCTCTGCAATTCCATATTTACACTATACAAAAGAAGTTTGAAGATTCCAGGGGAGTCCCTGTAAAATATAATAAAGATAATGACTCTCTGAAAATTAAGATTTTTTCAGACTCAAGATTTTTGAGTCTTGAAAAAAATTTGTTTTTACCCAATACTATTGCTAGTACATGTAGTATGGGAGTTAGTATAAAAATTGTGAGCTCAAGGAAACTACTGACAGGTCTATGGGACATTAATTTTGTCTGATAATATTTTTCATCTAAATTGGGAATTTATATTAATTATTGTTCACAATTTTCAAATAATATGGGCTTCAGTAAGTAAATAAACAATATTTTTGTATGTGTATTAAAAACAATAATAATTAGCTGGTACATCTGAATGAATCATGTCAACATCATTATATTATCTTTGCAATGATATTATGGTTCAATACTACTTGTTTTTCTGTTCATAATCACTGTATTGATTTTGTATTCACAGTTCTATTATTGTAACTAGAGGCTCAAGAGCCTGTGTCGCTCACCTTGGTCTATGTGCATATTAAACAAAGGACACAGATGGATTCATGACAAAATTGTGTTTTGGTGATGGTGATGTGTTTGTAGATCTTACTTTACTGAACATTCTTTCTCCTTACTATTATCTCTATCTATAATGAACTTGGCCCGGTTGTTACAGTGGAAAATATTTTGTAAAAATTTACAAAAATTTACAAAATTTATGAAAATTGTAAAAAATTGACTATAAAGGGCAATAACTCCTTAAGGGGTCAATTGACAATTTTGGTCATGTTGACTTATTTGTAGATCTAACTTTGTTGTACATTATTGCTGTTTACAGTTTATCTCTATCTATAATAATATTCAAGATAATAACCAAAAGCTGCAAAATTTTCTTAAAATTACCAATTCAGCGGCAGCAACCATACAATGTATTGCCTGATTGGTCTGAAAATTTCAGGGCAGATAGATCTTGACCTAATGAACAATTTTATTCCATCAGATTTGCTCTAAATGCTTTGGTTTCAGAGATATAAGCCAAAAACTGCATTTTACCCTATGTATTATTTTTTTGCCATGTCGGCCATCTTGGTTTGCGGGCAGGGTCATCGGACACATTTTTTTAACTAGATACCCTAATGATGATTGTGGACAACTTTGGTTAAATTTGTCTTAGTAGTTTCAGAGGAGAAGATTTTTGTAAAACATTACAAAAATTTACGAAAAATGGTTAAAAATTGACTATAAAGGGCAATAACTCCTTAAGGGGTCAACTGACCATTTTGGTCAAGTTGACTTATTTGTAGATCATACTTTGCTGAACATTATTGCTGTTTACAGTTTATCTCTATCTATAATAATATTCAAGATAATAACCAAAAACGGCAAAATTTCCTTAAAATTACAAACTCAGGGGCAGCAACCCAACAACGGGTTGTCCGATTCATCTGAAAATTTCAGGGCAGATAGATCTTGACCTGATAAACAATTTTACCCCATGTCAGATTTGCTCTAAATGCTTTGGTTTCAGAGATATAAGCCAAAATCTACATTTTACCCCTATGTTCTATTTTTAGCCATGGCGGCCATCTTGGTTGGTTGGCGGGGTCATCGGACACATTTTTTAAACTAGATACCCCAATGATGATTGTGGCCAAGTTTGGTCAAATTTGGCCCAGTAGTTTCAGAGGAGAAGATTTTTGTAAAAGTTTACGGACGACGGACGACGGACGCAGGACGACGGACACAAAGTGATGAGAAAAGCTCACTTGACCTTTCAGGTCAGGTGAGCTAATAAAAAGCTGCGAGCAAACATAACAAAAATTAATCTCCAAATGCGCACAAATGTAATGCGCCCATAGTTTTATGTATTTATCTTATCAATTCATGGTACATGTATATGTATAAGAGATGTTTCTGCAAAATTATCTAATAGTAAATTTGCAGTAAAAGTATGGGTTATTTATAAAACCAATACTTACAACCTAATAAGTTCCACAGATACAATCCTAGGGGTCCTGTTATTGTCTCTATAGGTTTACCAAAGATGTTGAAAACTGTAAAACTAATGGTAACCAGTCCCCATACTATTCCTAAAGATAGCATCACCAGAATGCTAACCCAATAACCAAAACCAAACAGTCCATATTCCCATTCATGTACATCTTCTGCAAAAAGGAAAAGTTCACTATATGAATAAATAATATAATAAAAAATATTACCATCTTACCAAAAATGCTTAAGAAATTTTTTTTTCTTAATGACAACATAAGTATACTTACCATGAGGATATCAGTATTTCAGGAAATTTCAGGAAACATTTGATATTTCATATTTTTTACAGACAAAGGGGTACTTTGTGAACAAAGTTTTCCCCCTTTAATCAGTGTTCTCCCCAGGGACATTTAGCATCATGGTAATGTGATACTAAAAATGTGCCAAAAATGATTCTCTTATAAATTGTGTTATTAATGGGATGCTATAAACAACAGGAAGATATAGTTTTTCAAAATTCCCTATTTACCAGGATGCAATTCTTAATTTACGGGAAGAACACTAGTCTTATCTGGGCTTGTGATTTGAAAATTGGTGCACATGGCCTTAGTAATGAAACACTGCTTGTATATTGTACATATATATGTATAGGTCAATAAATGTTACCATCACTATAAATGAGGTCTGACAGCTATCTACCTGTTTACATGATTCATAATATATTGAGTCTCATTAAAAATAGATACAACTTGTGAAATCCTAAACATGTATCAATATAAAAATAAGGAGATGTGGTATGATTGCCAATGAGACAACTATCCACCAAAGTTAAAATGAAGTGGATGTAAGCAATTATAGGCAACCGTACGGCCTTCAACAATAACCCATACTGTATAGTCGGCTATAAAAGGCCCCAACATGAAAAATATGAAACAATTCAACTGAGAAAACTAAAAATCAGTTGAAAAAGGCTCAACTCATCAGATCGATACAAAGAAAAACATCAAACAAAAACACAGACAGGACATGGCAGGGTATATATCTATCCCTCATCCCTACCAACAAAAAAGACACTAAGTACAGATCTGAGAGTACTCGCAGTTACTGAAAGCTAGTTCAAAGCCAATAACAAGTAATAAAAAAAATCATGTATCTAAAACTATAAAATATCAAATCAGTATACATCCAACATCCAATGGATTTAGTGAAGACGTCATTAACAGTCAGAGAAAAATATGACCTTGTGCAATGCCAAAATATAGGTATCGACAGATTGTAGTACAGTGAAAGTACATCATGTACATATGTGTAATATTTAGTATGGTTTTGATTGACTGATAACAAAATCAATAGTTATACCAATAAAAACAATATTCAAAGATCTAATTACAGTGTTGAATAGGTAATCTTTTAGAATAAGTTTATTTAAAGGATTGATGAGTTTACATGGATCGTATCTAAATTTCTGGGCTCGGTTAACAACATCATTGAAGAAGTAGGATTTGCTATATATATTAGCTATTCCCTTTGAAATAAGTTTTCTACAAGTACAGCCAAACTTGCAAACCAAATCTTTGTGTATATGGAAGAATTTATTAAAGGTTTTAAGTTATTTGTGGTAATGAAATCCCTCACTTAATAATTTACTAGTAATACATAGATTACGCTCATTGAAATCCAAAACGTCACTACAGACACGGGCATATCGAATGAGTTGGGATACTGTATGTAAATACCGTAAACAGTGCCAAAGGAACATCACTGTCCAAAAAAGGAAAATTAACAATAGGGGAAGAAAAATCATCCCTTTTGTGTAGAGTTTCTGATGTAATACTGAAGTATCTAAATCTTGGAAAGGACAGTTATTGCTGTTAACATTTGATTTATTTAAAGTATATATATACATGTAAGTTCCTTTGGGTTCGATTTCAGCAGTATATTCAACGAAAAAATATCATCAAAATAATGGTAAGTTATCAATTAAATTGAATTTAGATGGTTCTTTACTGAGTTTAGCCATATCAACTAATTATATAACTGACAACTTATTTTTGTCTAAGCTCTGACCCTTTATTTCCAAGTTATGTACATGTATACGTACCTCCCCTATCTTTTGTTTCAGTATATATGCTGGAAATATTCTTAATATAGTCCTTCCCTGCATCTGTATCAAGTGTTTCTTCTGTCCTTACTGTATAGTATGTACACCAACCATCAGCACAAATAACTAAAAATAAAATACAATAGTATAACAGCTGTTCTGTCAGCTGAAACAATCAACATGTTTATTAAACAGTTAATTACTAAAAGGAAAGATTTTACAAATGTTTTATATTATTCAGTTTGAATCAAACAGACTGCCAAGGATGCAAAGCAAAAGTCATTTCAATTTGATAAAATATACATTAAAATGAAACTACATTGTATTTTATCTGAATAATTTTAATGGAAGATGGTTAAATATGGGATTGCAATACACCTAAACATGCTAAATATCGTGTCAATTTTGCATTCTTCATGCTTAGTATATTTTTCTGACAAATTCTTTTAAAATATTTTTTGAAAAATCAAAGCTACGATAGCTTTTAAATCCTATAAATCATTTGAACGCAAGATTATGACGTAATTTTTATCTAACCAGAATCAGTGTATTATTGAAATGTGGATAGATATCTAGGACTAAATAAAAAAAATGCATACATTTTACATGTATTTAGTTACTGCATGAACCTACAACACAGTACAAAAGATAAGAAAACATCAAATAAATAAAAGAAGGAACGCTATGGGAACTAACCATAAGTAGAATCGAGGAAATGTGTTGCGATGCAAAGCAAATTATGTCTGACACATGTCACCGGATATATTTATCCATTTTGTTCATTATAAAGCATTTCATATTATTTGTGTTTTCAGTGTTGTATGTTTCCCATTCATATCATATTTCATATTCTTGATTCTTGACGATTGACGAAAATAGTTTTGCGCTGCGTATTTTGAAATAAACTATAGCTTTGTACGCTATGTTTTGCTTTGCCAACCGTATATTTAAATTAGTACAATAGAAAGGTAAAGCGATTCTTTATTATTATTTAAATGATATATATTCAAATAGCATGAGTTATGCATGAGCTCAAAGCGCGGCAATACTAACCATATATATATTAATACAATTTCACTTTTCGAGTTAGTCACTGGTCATTATTACAATCGGGGAGGCGGCAGACTAAAGTCACCGCTGCAGGTACTTGTAAATTTATTTATTTATTTAGCTATGTTTAAAATGTTTCAATTAAATAAAGTTACTTTAGTATTTCATATATAGAATTCAGTATGGCTTGAAAGCCGCATTTTGGTATACAAGTTAAAGTCAGAATAAAGCTCCGTTGCATGCAAATATTTCAGTCATATATATTGTTCATATTTATTCGAACATAATTGTAAACTTGGTTTACAATTTGTTTACTTGCAGATTATATAATAAAGTATATATAAATTGGACGACTCATTTAATGCAGAAATGGCCCACACGCATTACCACGACAAGTTTATGGGTTTATGGTGACTTATTCCTCATCCCAAGTCGATGTATTATTGGTGTCCCATTTTTCCTGCGACACACATACATGACAGTGGCGGATCCCGAAATTTTCATAAAGGGGGGGCCCACTGACTGCCATAAGAGAGGGCCCGCTCCAGTCATGCTTCAGTGGTCCCTAAATAATCAACCAAATTTTTCCCTCAAAAGGGGGGCACTTTAACTTTTAACTTTCTAATCACTCCATCTATTATCATATTACATTTGATTTGGATATGACCAAAATGCCCAATATCACTGGCCGCACAGACACGGGGGATTCCACTGTAGTGTACATGTAACTGGGGAACTATAGCTAGGTACACAACACCTCGTTCCTTTGCTAACTCTTACTTACATATAGTGTTGTTATGTACATGTATCATTAATTAGATAAATCCTAAGCTAAATGGTAACTGTATTTAAGAATTGATCTTGCACTGGACATGTATAGTATACATGCATGAACATGTCTCTGATCATTCTGATCTAGTTGTAAAAAAAATGTTTATTGACCAACATGACCTTTTTCTGGAATGCGCTCAGATTAAACATGTTAAATAAAATTGGATATGAGTTGACAGAATACTACATTGTAGTTGGTTAAAGTACGAGTTAGTAATAACCAGGTTTGACAAATGTTTGAGTTGTCATTGATCCCTGTAGATTTTATGGTCTTTTGATACTTTTTGACAATTTACAGACCATAGATCTAGAATACTGTAGATTCATTTATTTTCGTGGGTATCAATTTTCGTGGATTGAGGAACACTTGCATTTTCGTGGATATTTGATTTCGTGGTTTTGCCAATCTCTGCATACAAAGCCAAAGTAACATTTGTAATTCGTTGAACATTTGAATTCGTGGTTCATCCCTACCCACGAAACCCACGAAAATTGGTATCCAACGAATAATAATGAATCCACAGTATCACAAGGACTACAAAAGCTTCTTTTCCAGAATCCGAGGGCTTTCGCCCAAAATTACATTCTCTCCCTTTCACGTCCGCACCCCATACTTTCGCACCCTACAAGTAGCTACACGTTCGCACCCTTTTTATTGGTTTTGTATTGAATAATTTTTTAATCATGTTTTAGTTAGTGTATTGCTACAAATAAGTTTTTATTTATTGTTTCAAAATAAAGAGACATTCTAAAAACTTAAACTGGTTTTCTTAAGCATGTTTAGGGTTTTATTATTAATTATTTTGACGAAATGAATAATGAATTAAAAATGCTGATGATGATCAAGGCAAAGTTCATTGATCTAAGACTTGTTACAGAAAAGCGGAAGATAGGAAAACGGCTATCAAACTCGTCACAATGACATTGCCACGACAAAAACAAATTACACAAAAACCAGGGGTCAAAGCACATGTTTTTTTTAGTTGTTCACGATGTCGCATGTCAGCTATAAGTACCTACAGAGCATTTATTTCCACGTGTTAAGAAGATTGAAGGTACAAAAATGTACCAACATATATGTTCTTACAAATATATGCTTTAATACATGTAATTGGTGTTGTATTACAGCTATCAGTTACGATATAGAGCATTTATTTCTATATGTTATAATAATATGATTATGATTTTCAAAACACAGAACAATGATACCAAATTTAGATTTGTAAATACCAATTAACAGTAATCATACTTAATTAACATTTATTAATTAATCATCAAATCACAAAAAAAAGATATTTCATTTAAAAATTCCTGAATTTTTATTCGATAAAAACATAAATATTTTGATATTTAAACATAATCATGATAATCATGATAATTAAACCATCTGATATTTCAACCGGTGTTTCAATACACCTTATCGCTATTTAGTCCTATCCGGAAAAAAGAGTCATTTAGACAACTTCCTGTTTGGGTCAACAGGCAAAAAAACAAAGGTCATCAGTAACGAGCTGAGGGAGGGAAAAATTTAGAAAGCAATCACTAGGAAACTTTGATAGATTATGATCCACTTTTTCGAAACTCAAATTATAGTAAAAAAAATATTTTGTTTGATGTACAATGTATTTACAATGTTTTAAACAGGTCTCATTAAAAAGTATCATGCATGGTGCATTGTTTAAACAGGGTCCCAGATAGCTTCAACTGGATGAAAAACATGGGGCGAACGTGTGAGGTGGGAACATGTAGGGTGCAAACGTGTAGGGTGCAAACCTGTAGGGTGTGAACGTGTAGGGTGCAAACAGATCCAACGGTTCCACAGCTACTGTTACTATGTACATTGTAGCTTAAGAACCTGGCTATCATATTTTACGAATTATAGTTATCTCGTACCATTGTAAACTCGTACCAATGTCAACTCGTACCACTAAAAAAAACTCGTACCAATGCAAACTCGTACCAATGCTAACTCGTACCACGGTAAATTCATACCATTGTAAACTCGTACCAACTTATTTAAATGTATTCAAATGGTGTTTAATGATGAATATATAGTTTAATTTCACTCAATACCTCTTAAGTCTGTAAAATGTATATAATCTGAAATTACACTGACCAATTTATGCTAATTTTCCTTGTCTAATTGGATAGAGAAAACCGTGGCAGATTGGCTTTGTTGTCTCCCTTGAACAGACCCTTTTTTTACTTTTACTGACAACTATTTGATTTAATTTTTAATCATTCCAAATAAGTAACATTGAATAGATTTGGGTATTTTTCTATTGTTTCTAAAAGGAATTTTATTTAATGAGAGAATTTATTTCTTGTGTTTTAAAGGTTTAAAAATGGTTATGACCAACAGTTAGAAAGTATGAAGTTTATTTTTATACAATATTCAGCTCATTGTTGCACAAAATCATGATTAAGACCATGCTTTAATTCATATAATCATAATAAAGATAAAAAAAAAAAAATTCATATAATCAAAAGGTCATTATAATTTTCCCGATTTATATACATGTATAACACCTGTAGCCGAAGATACACCTCGCTCCAGCAACAGAGGAAAATAACTGATATCTGAAAAGGCACCTGAGATCACCCTCAGTTTCAAGTGGGGTTCGTGTGGCTTTTAATTCCAAGCTGTTAAATTATATAACAACATTCAAAATTTAATAATATGATTAACAAGTTGACTAGTTAATAATAACCCAATAATCATACAATCAAAGGAATTTAATATATCAATTAGCATGGTAATTAAGGAATTACATTCGTATTTTTGTCTAAGTTTTCATTAAAATCTAGTATAAAATTCAAGTAATTCAACTTTTTTATTAAGATTACAAAAAAAAATCATAAAACATTCGTATTTTTTAATATATTTTTAATGGTACGAGTTTGCAGTGGTACGAGTTCTGAATGGTACGACTTCCCAGTGGTACGAGTTTACGTTGGTACGAGTTAACTTTTTTGGTACGAGTTTACATGGTACGAGTTTACAATGGTACGAGTTAACTTGCTTCCATATTTTACGTACCTTGACTTATTCTGGGTCTCATTCCAAAATAATAATTTATTCCATTATCACCTCTAAACAGACCAAAACTTCCATAAGTTGTACAAGCATCATCCGAAATATTTTTATCACATCCTGTATTATTGGATTTACTGCCTGTAAATGTCACCCAATTATCTGTTGAAAATGCTGCTACGGTCAGCCCAACAGCAATTATACTTATAAACACTGTTAAAATTAAAAACGTTTTCTTATGGCTGTCTCCTGCCATATCAAGATGGAAAATCTTTATCACGAACTACCGGGTAAATTATAAAATTGATAAACTATCAAGATAACATTCCGAAAATGTCACACCCAAAACAGAATCCTATCAAAGTAATGCATAAATGTTCATTGAAATCTATCCTAAAATTAAACAGTCAAGAAACTTAGATGTTTTGGGAGGAGATATATCTTAAAACCTTTGAATTTAATTTCCAATCACAAACTACAATGTACAATAATCTGTAATCTGTAAACGAATTTCTGCCAATCAAGGCACACCTCCGTATAGAGGAAAGTAGTTCCGTCAATGAGATTCCTCCACCAGTATATACACAGTTCAATTTATGGTTCACAATAGTTCGTACATAAAGTTATCTTATTTAATATACATGTTTACGCCACGACAGTGTTAAAAATATTTCAAATGCAATTAAAATGGTAAAACTTAATTTAAAAAATAAGTTAACAATAAAGACAAAAAGTACAATTATAATTTTAAACACTGTTAAAAAAAAAAAAAAAAAAAAAAAGAAAGTTTATGCAATCCGTAAAAAAAATTGAATAGACTTTAAAACTAATAAAAGAGGGAGATCCATGTGTACCCCCACACATATATATATATATATATATATATATATATTATAACAAAAATAAATTCACATTTCTTCATTTTCTGTTTGCTTTTGTATCAATTTTTGTCAACACATCATAGCGCTTGGAATGAAGTGAATATAACAGAGTTGGCGGCATAGCGATACCAAGTGATTACCGACTCGGTCTTCTATATCCTTGCACATCTTCTTTGAGAAGTAATAATAAGGGTTAATTATTCTGAACGTTTAATTATTAGGTCAATAGGAATTTGCAGGCTTTCTCTTGCTAAAACCAGACTACCTTCGTGTAGTATTTTGCCGATAAGAGATGTTCTTATTTGTGATGTTGTATCACACAGTAAGATAAAATGTTCAATAGTTGCATCAGCTTTATTACAGAGTCTACACATCGGATTTGTTGCCGCGATAATTTGAATATTCCGCTTTATTAGATTGCAGTATGTAGGTTCCTGTGATTAATTTGGAGCAAATAGACAGTTTCTTTATCTCATTTATATTTGCACTTATTGTTTTAAGTGAAGGATGGATTCTGCCAATATCATATTCACATTCAAGATATCTTAAGGTTGAGTACCCCTTCATTTTGGTCTTTATGGCATCCTCCCAGTACTTGTGAATCTTTTTGGTTATAAACCTCTTCCATTCAATTTTTGTAAATGGCTTTTCAAGATACTGTTCTAACTCTACGATGTCATATTTGCCACATATCTTTTTCAGATCAATAAACCAGCTATTGCTTGTGTAGGTTTTAATTTGAAGTTGACGTTCCGCTATTCTCCACTCTAAGGACGATCTTTCAGCTCTGGTTATATTCCCAAATAGTGTTATAATTTTAATATGGATCTCTGCTTCAAGTGGGAGTAAACCTGATAATAAATAGACAGCCGGGTCAGCCACATTTAGTTTGAGAGAGATAAAATCTGTTTAATCCACCTTTTATGTTGTTGTTGTATAATATCTAAGTTTTTACCTGATGGTATCAAGATTTCTAGGCCGTAGGTCAAAACTGGTAAGATATATGTCCTAAATAAGGAAATTAGTGTTTCAGGGTCTAATCCATTTTCCCCATGTAATCCTGCACCCATAAGACTGTACATGGATCTTCTGGCTTTTTTTTTTATATATTTTCAGTGATGGTTGCATTGGTAGAGTCTTTTTAAGATTTTTTTTATTCCAATATGAGAAGAGTCTTGAACAATGGGCATATCTATATTTTTAAGTTTCCAAAAACCTTGATCAATATCTAGCATTTTGTTACATGTTTTGATTGGCAAGACTACACTTTTTTGAGGCTGTAGTAAATATCCTTCTCTTTGGCTGAAATCAACTGCTATATTTATCATATTTTGGAGTTCAAAGGGATTGTTAGATATCAAGGCAACATCGTCTGCACAGGTCGGCGCACAACAGTTTATATTCCCAATTTTGGCTCCTAGTCCTGAGTTGCTCAGAATTTGTAGTAGAGGGTTGATATAAACTTTGTAGAGGTCAGCGCTAATGGCTCCGCCTTGTCTTACACCTTGTTCAATATTGAATAAGCAATTTGACAAAGTATTGCCCCATTTTACACAGGATGTTGCATTTTCAAATAAATTGCTGATCAGTAGAATAGATTGTTGTGAGAAACCAATTTGAAAAAGACGTCGTATTAAGTTTTTATGGACTACAACATCAAAAGCAGATTTCCATCCAATAATGCAATATAGGTTGGTAACTTGAGATCTTTATTTTCTCTTTCAAATTCTTCAATGAACAGTCCACATAGCAGTGGAGTGGATTTTGCTGTGAAGCCTTTTTGCAGTGGGCTTTGATGTTTCAAGATCTTATTGTTTTCTCTTCCTTTGATTATAACCTCTATGATCTTCGAGTAAGTTGGTGTTACAGTAATCCCACGGTAATTTTTAACATTCTTTATGTCACCTTTGTTTTTGAATACAGGGAAAAGAGTTCCAATTTTGAGTAAGTTTGGTATATAGCAGTGTTCAAAACTTGTGTTAATTAGAAGTTGAAGATACTCAAGAAGTATTTCGCTGGCATGAATGAAATTTTCAGCAGTGATTCCATAATAGTCCATAGCTTTATTTGTATTTAATTTTTTGACAGCATTTTTCAATTCTTGGATTGAGACTTTTTTCATGTGAATAATTTTTCTTACATATCTTTAATATTAGTTTTGTTTCATCTTCTACTGCTTCTAAATGGTTCTGATCAAAGTTCTGATAGTTAGATTTTTTGGTAAGATCTCCAAAATGTTTTGTCCATCCTTCCAATACACGGTCAGATGTTTGATATGTTTCATTTTCTACTATAAGTTCTTCAATAAATCTACCCATTTTCCCCCTCTGTTTTCTAATTAATTTATAAAATAAGGCAGTATCACTGGATTTAGCATCCAAAATTTGTTGTCGAGCATTAATCCTTTCTAGCGCTTGCTCTTTTCTACATAATTTCCTGAGATCATATGTGGTGATTGTTTTTTCCTTAAGATAGAAGTTACCAGGTTCTTTTGGTCGATCATGTTGTTTCCATACAAAGAAGGCAGTTTTCTTCCTTTCCACAGCTTGTAAAATTTCCTCATTCATTAATGGTAGTTTCTTCTTTTTCTTGCCCTTTCGTTTTCTTGGAGCAATTTTTAAGGTTGTATCTGATATAATTTTGGTCAGTTCATCAAAAGCTTGATCTAAATTCAATTTTTCTGATATTGGTTTATTTTTTTCTAATTTCTCATTAAGCAAAGTTTTATATTCATTCTTGTCCACCTTATTCCAGTTAACTTTGGAGTTTTTTGCCTTTCAAAACTTCATTCTCTGTTCAATTTATGTTTGGAAACCACTGTTACAAACCCTCATTCAAACCAATACAAACTTACAGCTATCATTTCGGATATTGCAAGTCACAGACTTTTCAAACCAGTTCGCATTGGAAAAGATGAAAAAGAGAAAAGATCTTTTCTTAAACTTTCCTTTGCCAACAAAGGTCTCGATGGCGTCAACTTAGGCAATATCCTTCATCATAAATTAGTTCAGTCGAAAATACCTCCTTATTTTAAAGATCAGTCTGTACCAATAATTTCTTATACCTATACCAAACCAATTGCAACTAAAATTTTCAATTACAAACACGTTTTGCAGGATCTCAACATTGACGACTTCAAGTCTAAACCTCCTGATTGCACCTGTGCTAGTTCCCAATTCACATATAATCCGGCTGGCCACGTTATTACCGGAGACCTCAACATTGTCAATAACACTTCCCTACGAAATTTGTTATCCAAAGGTCCGAAATATCGTGATCCTAAATCCATCAATTGGAAATACAACTTCAAAATACTGATGGATTCAGTCGAGGATTATGCCAGACAATGGGCTAAACGCGAGAAAGAAGACGTAGATACTCTTTCCGAATGGATTAAGGCTGTGAGGTCGTTGATACAAATCCGAATTAAGAAACTAAATAGGTCTATCAATACCCACGCTACGTCAATTTTTAAAGACCCAAATGTTGCTAAACACTTGTCCTACCTCCATGACAAATATGTTGTTGTCCCCGCAGATAAAGCCCCAAACAACATCGTTTTTGTGTGTAAATGTCATTACATAAACTGCTTGATAAGTGAATTAGGTATTGACAATTCATTTGGAAACTCAACATATACCCTCACGACACTTTCCAAAGAGGAAATCCTGGATAACCATAGGTCTGTTTTATGTACCTTTGGAATTTCAACCAAAGATGAAGAACTGGATCTTCCATCACTGTATTGGATACCTAAACTACATAAGTGTCCTTACAAACAACGGTATATTGCTGGGTCTTCCAAGTGCTCCACGAAACCTCTTTCTAAATTATTTACATCTATTTTATCAGCAATCAAAGCCGGGCTCCAAATCAGATGTGGATACTAAAAAATTCCAAAGATCTTTTAGGGTACATACAATCTAAGACTCTCTCATCTTGCAATAGTATATAAACATTTGACTTTTCTACACTTTACACAAGTATTCCCCATTCCAAACTAAAAGACAAATTGAAAGAGTTGATATTACTTTGTTTCATTAAAAAGAATGGCGAACGTAGATACAAGTATCTTGTCTTGGGGAGGGATAAATCCTAGTTTGTAAAGAATCACTCTGATTCAAACAAAACATTCTCTGAAACTGACATTATCAAGATGCTTGATTTCTTGATTGACAACATATTTGTTACGTTTGGGGGACGTGTTTTTCAACAGACTGTTGGAATTCCAATGGGAACCAATTGTGTCCCTCTTCTTGCCGACTTGTTTCTTTATTATTATGAGGCTGACTTCATACAGGAACTTCTAAGAGAGAAAGATAAGAAGTTAGCAATATCCTTTAACTTTACGTTCCGCTATATAGATGATGTTCTCTCACTAAATGATAAAAAATTTGGTGACTATGTTGAACGAATCTATCCCATCAAACTAGAGATAAAGGATACTACAGATACAGTTAAGTCTGC